AGTACAGAAACGAATACGATGAGCACAACTGGTAACAAACTTTGTATGGAGAAACAGGAATGCTTATGATGTGAGTAAGAAAGAAGTGCAGATCTTTTTATCAAATTGCAGTTTATTCTTAATTACAGTGCAGAAACATATTGAAAAGGGTATAATTAATATTTAAGGGTATAATTAATATTGGTTACAAGAAAATCGTACCTTCAAAGCCTTTAACATCGTCAGTACAATGATTCTCAACTGGGCAAAACGTGACACCTGGGACAAAAAACTGAAAATTAACATTTTCTCAAGGAATCAATGGCTAACGAGGTTAGAACATTGTGTTATATAAGTCTCTTTTAATAAACAAGTTGAAATCCCCCTGATAAAATTCACTGAAACACTCGTAACCGGAAAATTAGTTTCACTTTGGGTAACAGGAAACACCTTTCCCTTAAGACGATTTGAAATATTAGTATCGTACTAATTACTATCAAACTTACACAACCAACAAAGGTGCATGGTTCAACACCAACGTAAAAAACATTGTTTAAAAAGAGGAAGAAAGAAAAGGATGTTGAGGAAAATTTGCCAAAGTTACAGGTATTTTACATGGGTAGAATCTTATATAGACTTTCGGGGATACATATTCTTTACAATACCGATTTCCTACATCACAGGTGATGTGGGGGGGGGGGGGGATTTTTGAGGCTGAAAACCAATTGGTCCAAATTTGATGGATTTTCATAAGACATTTCCTGAAGTTTGAGTAAAAAATCATCGCTTTACTGCCGCGCAGTTCAGGTATAAGCAGTTTTCAGTGCCCATTCAAAGAAGTATTTTTTTGAAAAAACACCAGGAATAGCAACAGCAAATCAAAACGTACCAACAAGGAAATTTATCAAACTCGATCAACGATAGAATTAGAGCAGACACAAACCATTTTTAGGGATCTCAAGATTCGAAATGTACGTAGATTATCAGCGACGATCTTCAAGCTTTTGTTTGCGTCTTGCGGAGAAGCCACTTTTATCAGTTCGGGGACAAATGACTAAAAAGAGACAAAAGATTGCCACGAAAAACGTTTTGTGCCAAGGGTTGGTTTAGTGTTCGCTAAAGAAATCGGAGGTGAGTATCTTGGGTGAGAAGGCAAATCAATTTTCTTAAGCAATATGAATAAAAATGGAATTCTTTAAATTCAAGCGAGCAGAGCTGTCGCTAGCTATGGTGGTCAAGGATGCACCGATCCCATTCGCCGAAAAAGTTGGTGAACTTGCCGACGTTCAGAAAAGCTAACGAAGTACTCCTTGATGGTAAAAAACTCCCCATTTTTTCAAGGGGGTTTCACGCAAACCCCACAAAACCCTCGGTTGAGTAGTAAGATCATCAACAGTAGATTTTTATGCATATAGGCTCTTCAGTTTTATCAAAAAAATAAACTCGATAGAGGGTTTGCCTTCTACTACTAGAAACAGCAGAATACCGAGCCTTGAATAAGGCACACAAAAACACTTTCTTTTTCCTTTCAACTAGAATTTGCACTCTCTAATTCTGTCCTACCAATGCTGCTTGTCAATAGCCAATTTTCATATTAAATCTCTAGAGCACAAGAGATTCTAGTATATCTTAAGAAAATGTTCTGTGCATTCTCGTTAAAATCATCGCAACCTCTAAATCAGAGGCGTAGCCTGAAATATTTCATAGATGCAGAGGGAAATTAGATTCAGCTTTAAAAGTCAATATTTAATCTAAAAACTAAATATTGTTGATCTCAACACAAGAAAATATCTTACAGAAATTATAAAGAAGTGATTTGTAAAATTATCAGCAACATTTTAGAGCTTTGAAAATAGTTTAGAGCATACCATGACAGTGACAAAAAAATCGAACACATTCCAACCATTCTTCCAAAAGTCAAAGAAGCCATCGATCCATTTCAGCAGAATTTCCAAGATGAAAACCATGAGAGAAAGATAGTCGAAAATATTCAAAAAAACTTTGAGTTCCTTGTATGATGAGCTGTCAGTGTTAGAAATTTCTACAAACAACAGAGAATAATGACTTATTATCATTTGTATGGAAACAGGAGCAAGTTGAGGTTGCTTTATACAGAGTAAAAAATGCTGAATAAAATGTCATTATTGTCAAGTTGTTCAGCACTTTACTAACTTTCTGCAGAAACTGCATTGTGCGAGATTTTTCATAAAAATGGAATTATAAACAAAAATAATAATATGACTTAAACTATTTGTATAAAAAGGGAACTAGTTAATTACAAATGAATTCCTATTTAAGTATAAACATCTTGTTCAAAATTTTGTTGCTCTAGCCTTTATCATGATAGTCTAAAGCCCTGACCATTCAGATTAAATACAGTTAACAGACCTTTATTAAAAACTATCAGACATAATAAGTGGAGTGTTTTTTAAAGTACATACCTGCTTGTATTCCAAGCACAATTGAATTTGAAATTATGAGAATAAGCAGAAAGTTCTGAACTCTGTTATCTTGACTTGTCAAGGAAAGCAAGCAGAAAAAGCATGCAATTTTTAATGGAATATAAACACAAATGAATAATAATCAAATGGATTTAAGTGTTTCAATAAACAATAACAAGGTTAGTAGATTAGCCAAATGTGTAAATGTATAGCTAGAAAATGAATCAAATCAAAGCATGGTGACAAAAAAGTAAACAAACAAACCAGCAAATAAACAAACAAACAAAAAGCTGGGTGAAAGTTTTGTCATGTTTGGGACTCATACACAAGAATCTTGAATCTGTAGTCTGAAATCCTGACCACTGAGCCATCTTTGCACCTTAGCCTTGCCACTGTGCTATTCATCAAAGAACATACCAACCAGTAATGAATAGAGTCCTAGAAAACACAGACTAATGAAGATAAAAACACGAAAAATGTCAGATGAAAAGCTTAAAGGCATTGAGTTGTGGCAAATAGGCCTTCTCTATAGGGGTTCATTTCATTTCAGCGTGAGTTTCGCTGTTTCATGTGATATTTGCATCCGTTGTTGACAACTTGCTATTGATGAAAACTGCTTTGTTAATCAGTATGAGGCAAGTTCATGTGACCAGTTTAAGGTCAACCAATAGCATGCCAGTCATGAAAATCGTGACTCAGCGGATTTTGGCATTTGGGGTATATCCAATCCATTTTATCATGACTCGATGCCTTTAAGTTTTGTTTCAAAATGTTTGCTTTTAAATTCTGTACCACAAAAAAGTGTTTGAAAACTCTATACATCAATACAACTCAATTGTGGCCATAGATGGAGTTCTCTAGACTGAAGGATACTCTCAACGATCATCTTTGCCCATGGACCCAGTGGTATTGTGTTCTTTGTCTTGATGCGATTGAGTCTTTTGTCAGCATATGTTGCATCATTCTCTTTGTTGTAAACTTGGAATTTCACCAGGGCATTTGGACATGATCTCATCATATCTTTCATACCTGAGTTGTCTGTGATTTGAATCATAGTTAATCATTAAGATATCAAATGCATAGGTAGATGGGAATAATTTTCCTTCATATTACCAAAACATGAAACCTAGAATAAACTGCTGCCCATACAAAAGTGTACACAGCTCTGTATACACAGCATCACATTCTATTTTCATGGCCCTAATTACAAATTTGCTTAAAAAGATACCAGTTTGAGTATACTTAAAATTAGTTTGTTTTTTGGGTTGGCAATAATTACTTTTAATAAAATCATGAATAATTTGCTAATATGCACACAATCCTCTACGGTTCTTCATGGCTGCTTGAAATGTTACAAATAGTTGAAAAAAACACAAACTTTAGGTAGAACAGTTTTAGGTTTTCAAAATAATTATCTTTAATGGTAGGGAATAGACAAGCCAAATTGAACTTTCTTGAGAACTAAACATAAATGAGAAACTTGAATATGGACATGTTCACAGACATTAAAACCTTACTGTAGGACATAATCCTGACAGGGCCATAGTGATTAGTGGTGTAAGGGCTTGTGCGCATAGTTTTATCAAAGTGAAATGGGATTACACTCTTTTTTATAAGAATCAGTAAATTTAAGTTCAGGCTGACTGCTCTTAATTTTTTTGAAAATCTGAGGCTGGATAATTCTTAATTGATTCTTAAACTAATAGGATATTAGCAGTTCGATTGCTAGTTTTTTGGCCCTAGGGGGGTGTTCACGCCTAATTTGCCAATAAACTGAGTGGGACAATCTTCATTGGCCAAGGAGTTTGAATATTGACCGAAAAAGCACCCACACATGGCTAAAACCTCCATGTTCTTTTGAGATAAAACCTTGTTCAAAATAGCATTTTATAGTAGCTGAGCCTCAGCTTCTTCTTAATTTGTTCTTAACTTTTAACCAATTTCGAGGCTCGTGCTCTTATAAAATTGTTCTTATAAAAAGAGTTGTATCTTTTTCGAAAAGGCAGGCTTTTTCCACTTGGACAAACAGCCAGGGCTTTTCTGCTGTCATTAGGCAAATGTTGGCTTAAATGCTAGCTTACCCACAAAATGCGGGAATCTTGGTAGGTCTGTTCATGGGGACGTGAGTATGTAGATTGATAAATATTTCCTATATTCAAACCTAGAATCTACAAAAATAAAGCCACAGCTTTCATTGACCTACTTTTCACTTCATCTGAATAATATTTTGGAATTTCTTCTGAGCTTGCATCGGTCAAAGTATCTAACAGCTGGAAGTGTTCTATAAGCTTTGAGCGAAAAATTTCTGCCCTGAGAAGCAGTTGCTCTTCTACCTCTTCCGCCATTTTTACGCGCCAGTGTACGATTGGCATGGCAACGAGGTTGAGAGGAAAGGAACCACTGATCAAAACAAAAGAGACTTCTTCTGTACAAAATGGTACACTAGCATATTCAAAATGGTACAGTTTTTCTAGACTAATTTTTACAAGTATGCTTTGAGGTGAACAGCCTCTGTCTACGAACAGAAACCTGTTCAAAAAGTAGCGCATGAGCAAACACGGATAAGAAAATCACGACAACTTTTTAATATATGTGCATCAAAGATAAAATCGATACAATAAAATTATTTATCAAACATGATCTTGCATGGAGTTATGAAGATATTCTGAGCTTCAGTTGTCCACAACTAATTCTTTGGTTGTTGCTTGCATCCCTTGCATCAAAAGTTACTTTGTAATCTCCCTGCAAGAAATTCAAACTTCATTAAATATTTTGTCAACTTTGGTGTTTTTGACAGGTTTTATCTGATGTTTCTTCATGCTTTATGTTTCAGAACAGCTTAAACTTGTAAGCCGGGGCTGCAAGTTGTGTCATCTTATAGCATTGAATGAATAGTAATTCCCTCAAGCAGTGGCGTCGCTTGAACTTCCTGACTAGGGGGTGAATGGTCATCAAAAGAAAAAATTTACCGTCAAAGAAAAAGATGGAGAAGAATTTAGGTGATATTTCATCATCATCGTCATCATCATCATCATCATCATCATCATCATCATCATCATCATCATCATCATCATCATCATCATCATCATCATCATCATCATCATCATAATCATCATCAAAATTACATTTAACGATCCATTGCGGGTCGATACAAATGTCTACGCATCTATCGTTTGCTGATTCACCTTCTGATAGATGATTTTACCGACAAACTAAGGATTTTGCAGACAAACTGAAGATTTTCCTTACGAATCTACACTGCATGATTGAATTTACAAAACTTACATTGGTCAGAAATGATGGGATACTGATTGGTGGCACAGTTACGCTCTGGTCCACTGGGTGTGTTCCAGCTGGAACTGGGCATCTGCAGGTGGGGCATTGTCCCAACAATGTGGAGCAATCAAGAATGTATTCGCTGTAACAAGACACAAATTAACAATAAAACAGGAAAGAAAAGCAGTTTTACTGAAAAGTAATGTTTTTTACATTAATCAAATGAATGGAGCTCATATCATTTTCCAAATGGTTTCTTTCTTTCATTGCTTCAATTCCCATTAGATTTTCCTGCCGTTTTAGAGCAAGAAGTCGCCACTGGGATAAATCGGAGAATCGCTAAATCAGACTTTTTCTTTCCCGACTTGAAGGTCTAAGTTACTGATTCATCTGTATGTAAATATCTGATGCTCAGAAATGCAATTTTGAAGGCAATTTTGCGATTTTGAAGGCTTTAGCCATCTTTGGCAGTAGCAGAACTCATCTTTGAAACGGTTTATATTGTATGTTTGAGATATGGTTTGAAGTAAAGCAATTCTGATTTTGTCTCACAAAAAAGGACTCGAGAAAACGGATTGTGGAATAGCAATTAAAACAGTCTAGAAAGAAAAGGTTACTAAAGGACAGGGACCTGTAGCCATTGAACATTCTCAAAGAGCCACTTGAATATAGAGGAAAAGGGAAAAGATTTATTCTGCACATAGGCGTAGGAGACGAAAGGGTTAGGGGCTGCTAAATCTATCTCATTTGAGGCTTTCTTTGGGCAGATGGGATTTTCTAACATGTTAACTAGGAGGCAATCGCTCCTCCAGTCCCAGTGACTTTTTATTGCTTCAAACAATATGCTATAGTACACCCCATAACATAAAAAGGCTTGCCCCCTCAGCTATTTTTCCTTCGAATAGGCTATGGGCAGTGATATCTCAATGAAGCAATTAAATCCGAACAAAACTCGTTATAAGACCCCCTAAAAGTTTAGCATCCACCGCGCCCTTGCTTTTCAGGTATCCTTGAGGCAGCTGTAAATCTTTGAAGAGCCACGCCTGGTAAAGCACTTTAAACTAATTCCAGCAAAGTATAAGCACATTGTTTCTTGTCCAAGTTTGTTTTAACTTCTGATACCTCTTACAATGTATAATTTAACTTCTGTTTATTTGATATTTATGTTCAAAATAACAATCAAAAGTGATATAGGTCAGTTTATGATTTGTTTACAAGGATAGGAGCTATTGAAAGTGTCACGTCATATAAACAAATTTTTCAGAATTTTGACTTTTGACTAGAATACACCATGAAATTCTTCCTAAAGTACATAATAATCCGGGGAATCTTTTGAATGGAAGAGAAATAGTTGGTGGAAAAAGTGAATTATGTAACAGAGCTATCATTGTTTTGGCCAGGTCCAATTTATGTAATGGTTTATTGGAGGAGGAGGAAGCTGTGCTCACGTTTACCCATTGTCACATTTAATTTGCAATACATTAAACCAAATTTGCACATTTAGAGGTATTTCATAATGGTTTTTATAGGTTATCTGGTATAAATTAAGAAGTTCTGAAAATTCATTTGTGTGACGTTCCCCTTCATAAATCTGTATCGCCAGCCTGCGTGCAACGCAATCGCCTCGCGAAGGAGAGATTTTGAGTCTGTACGCAAACTGCTTATCGTTTGAACTCACCAGCTTCCGACGTTTGAAATGCAGGGCAGACTGATGTAACCCCACAAGATTTTCTTTTCGACCTTCACTTTGAGCTTGAGTTTAGTGGGCAGAAGCTTTTTGACAAGAAGTGTGCCACTGAGTGGGATTTTTCCACCGGAGACAAGTCGTACAGGGTCTGGAAGGCTTTTTAGCATGATCTGTACTGGAGCACTGCTATCTGAAAGAACGAATTGGGGGATAAGCCAGCTTCAAGCTTTTGAGCAGAGCATTTGTGCTTTGATAGGAGTGTTACATACACGAAAGACTCAACAGAGGAAGAAAAGTTGTTGACACGAAATTAAAATGAAAACAGTAAAACAATTAAAGTTGCGATGGATATATTTTAACAACAGTTCTGATTCTGTCCAAGGAAATTGAAAACATGACTGATTCTTCTTCTCTCCTTAAAGCGGTTGAAAACTCGTTTGAATGGAAAAAGTGAACTTCGTAAAAAACAGGAAAAAAACTGAGTTTTGTATTTTTAACAACTCTACAAAGAAATAAGGTTCCCAAAGATACATAGATAATATATTATGCATAACATAGATAAATTTTGGCCTTATCTATCTGAAGATGAATTTTGTTGTAGTTCTATTTCAAAAATTTGTCACTACTTCACTGTAAAGAGGCTATTCTGTATTTAAGACTGTCTAAATTTATATAATTTATAAATCTTTTGAAAATTGCATTAGAAGAAAACTGCTAGAAATTTTTAAGAAAAAATAATCGTTTGTATCGTTTCTTTGTTTACTTTGGAGAGTTTGCAAAAAATATCAACTTGAGAAAAATGAAAATTTATGAAAATAGATTTAAAAAGTAAGCTTATTTGCATTGAGTGAAATGCTACATTGCAATAAACGTTCTAAAATGATATTTGAATATCAAGAAACTTATGAAGAAGAAATAAGTCACAAGGATAACGTCGAGGGTCTTGCTGCATAGAACAAACCTGCATTTATTTCAAAATATACGAACAACTTTGTCTTCGACTTAGGCAAAGCTCTCTAGATTCAATGAATTTCTACTGCTTTGAAATCTGAATGAATCTGACGCTCTTTCCAACCCTCCCTGTCTTCAGTCATTATTTTGGAAGGTGTCAGAAAGGCTGTTTATATCGAACTACATCGCTAGAATTTCGACATATGCGATATGGCTTATCTTGTGCAGAATAAAGGGACCTTAGAGAAGAAACTGGCCTGCTATGTAGCTCAAGATGTAAAAATATAAATAACGGGACAGGAGCTGCATTTTATTTAGTTAAGCACAACTCGACTTAGAGCTCGGACTGACGAGAAGAGACTTTACTTAAACAAGAATGTCATTCTATGTGGATGACTTTAGATTCTTCTTCAGCAAACAATCTGCAATACCGATATAAATAATAGAAATAGACCTACCGCAGTTGGAGAATGATGCAGCACTAGCCATGGCTATGAGTGCCGTTAAACACAGAAGCTTGAACATCTTTGCTGAATTATCACTGAAAGCAACAGGCAAGACGCAATGAAGAGGCGAGTCGGTCTGAGGAACTTCGAAAATCTGAGGTATTTTATATATTCGCATATACAAACTGCAAATACCAGCTCTGTACAGTTTTTGAAAGCTGTACAATCAAATAGGTTAATCCCGCTCAAAAAAAATTACCCTAGTATTTGTTGACAAATAGACTTGCTTTATTACGTGAGCAAATACGACGTGAGAAGTCCAAGAAACAAGGAAGAAACACTCGAGATTTGGTAATAAAATAGATTTTTACGAGGCAGCTGTTGTTTAATTGATACAACTAGTCAAATAAAGTGAAATAGTAATGTATTTTGAAGCAGGTGTCGAAATAATGGCGAAAGTCATTCATTGAACGGCAATGGTGTGTTTTAGTGTTTTCAACAAATTAATTGTATGACACTTAGATGATACATGCTAATAACAAGTAATAAGGGTTTGATTCAATTAATCAGGATGGGATTCTAGGAGTGGATAGGCGGGGATTGAACGCATTGTGAGGCAAAGCGAATTGGTGCTTTAAAGCAGCTAAAGTCTCTTTTTGTAAGAACAAATAAATTGAGGTTCAGGCCGACTGTTCTTGTTTTGTTTTCAAGCACAAAAGGTGCAAGCAGGGTCATTTAAGGGTTTAAGCGGGGTCATATAAAGGTATTCAGACCAAATTCGTCGGCAATATGGGGTATTCACCCTTAGCAAGCCTTAGGTCTGGACCACTGGCTATCCCTAACTTGCTAAAAAGTTTGAATTTCGCCAACAAGCACCCTTAAGTAGTAAAACTGAAAATTTTTGAAACGGTTCTTTAAAGGGGTGTCACAAACACAATGCCAAAATTGAAAAAGTATGTGAACAAAGTTTGTTCATAATTGCATCTTACGGTACCTCAGCATCAGCGTGGCATATTTTTGGAGCTCGTGTTCGTATGAAATTGTTCTATTAAAAAAGTGCACTATCAATTGATGGTAGATAAAAAAATCACAAAATCCAAAATTGATATCCAATTGAAAAGAAATACCTATCAGTTTATTTATTAATCAACCTCAATTGCCTTTTTGACAACGCTTCTGGAGTAAAGATCAGACGTTCCTAAATTGGTACTCACTCTAAATGCAATCATCGGGCAAATGTTCCTTATGTCGTATCAAGCATGAAACTCATAGTAGCAGCTGTTAATGGGTGTGGCTCTAGATGTCGCCTGAAGCACAGCCTCCCCCCTTCTCTTAGGACGGCCGCCTTGTCTGAACAGCTAGACAAATTTGCTTTAAGTTTAGCGATATTATGGATTCATTCATTCTTAGTCCCTTACATACTCAATATTTTCAATTTCCCTATAAATCCGTTTGCTTTAATATGCTCTCACTATTTTCTTGTTCATAATTTTCCTTCCAGGGAAGATAAATGTTGCCTAAGTTTATAAAAACTTCTGAAGAAGCTACTGCAAAGAGGCCATGGGTAGAAAAGGTCGATTTTTCTAGGGTGTTAGAACCCATTGAAAAAGTGAATCATTTCTTTCCTGGGCCACCTTGAACTAATTTTCATCAACATATTTTTGTCCAGCTACTGAGGAGAAAAAGGACTTCAATGAATTAAGGTATTCATAACAAGAAGAAGGAAGACAATTCAAGTGAGAAGAATCTTTGATTCCGATTTACAATATTCAATATTATTTCAATCAATATTTTACCCGATGCGCCTTTGGTTCCAAGCTGACTTAAGATGATCACAAACTAGCTCAAAGAGACATTTTTGCCATGTCCTGCTAGGTGTGAACATAGAAGGCTGTATCTTAATACCTGTATAATAAACTAATAGTTACGAAATGGGAAAATCAAGGTGCCATGGGAATTCTAAAGAATGTTACATTTGTCATGGGAGTAGGTACTGTTTGTTAACAATATGGCCAGGGAAAAGAATGCAATAGAAATGTATTGCGACCCATTTTATGGTAACAAGGGGATTAAAAGAATCATTCATGTATCATGGGATTAAAAAATTCTTTTGAAACAACATGCAACGGGAAAACAAAGTAAGTAAACTGCAAATCCCGAATTTGGATGTGTTAACGGTAGAAGGAGATCTTTAAAAGAAATGATTGATCTATCATGGGTGACAGCCGGGAATGTATTAACCGGATCTGCAAGAGGGTATAGAGGAAAATGAAACAAAGATTCCAGCGAATATAAACAGACTCCTACTTGGGTTAAAAATAGGCAACAACTTGTAAGGCGCAGTCTTCTACTATTTTAGTCTTGTACCGGATTAATTAAACCGGATTAGTTATACCGGACTCACTTGGTATCGGGTCACTTTTCATATAGGATGGGTGCTCTGCTAACATGATAACGCTTGGATCCGATACGCTCTGTTTTGTTTTTGCAGAGTCAATGTGGTATGGGATATCGGATCACTTTTGCGCCTGTTTGACCGCATGAATCCGGTAAGATATTGTTCCGGAACCTCTGTCTGTAGGTTCCTTAACCTCTGTTAGCTTCGTTTCCAAAAGCAGTTTGATGCACTTCTTAATCCCCACAAAGACATGAATATATCGGAGCAGTGTAAACAGAAGTACATCTGATACAAAATGAATCCGGTTTGTGTGAACAGCCGTAATAGCCGTTTCGGATCAGGTCTGTGAATCCGACACGAAATGAATACGGTCTGGTGTTAACAGGGCCTAAGTCCATTAGATTTTGGCCTGACGCGACGATAATGCACAGTTTAATGCACTTTAGAATACCACGAGCCAATAGCAACAAAACTTCACTGTTAAAAACATTAACAAGAGGAATTGGACAGAAGTTTTATTCTAACTGGAGCGAACGAAGGTTTTGGCATTCAGCATACCTGAGTGCCTTAAGCATTTTAGTTGGTAATACATATGATGTCATAATGCTACCACTATACAATATTTATCGAATCATTAACGATTGAGCAATCATACAAAAACTGCGAGTAGTTAAATGTACATTAATTAAATTTGTGATAAATTTCTGAGGTTATATAAATTTACAAGTCGCCATCGCCAATGTTCACATCGTCGTTTTCCTTCACCTTTTTTACTTTCGAAGTTGGACGCGACGAAATTGCTGATGACGTGATATCTGCGACCTGAAAATGACGTAGGTGTGACGTCATATTGGAGATTTTTACAATTAAAAATCAGGAAAATAGTCAGTTGTAATAAATGGAATGTAAAAAATAATAATAAATGTAATAAATAGATGTAATAAGACGGCGAACAAATATCCAAGCTTGGAACAGTTTAATGAAAAAGAGACGATGTTTTGGTGAAAGTGACATGTTTTGACGGTGAGCTGTTGAAAATGTCTAAACGAAATTGTATTTCGCAAATTTCGCAAAAACATAAGAAGAAGATATTTCAAAATATCAATAAAATAAAATACTTTCATTATGGATGCCCAAAATCCCGTTTCGTTTCTCTTCTAATTCCCGATTCCCGATCATCAATTCCCAAATCCTGCTCACAAAAATTTGCCAATTCCCCATTCCCGACTCCCAAAACCCATATTGGGTACCCGAATTAAATTAAGGCCAACTAATCTTAAAAGCACTTTCAATACAGAACATCAACTTCGAAATTTGTACTTGTTTTATTGCATTTAAAAATCAATCGAAATTTTATTATTCGTTAATGATTATTGTAAATTATCTACCTGACCAAGACATGGTTCAAAATTTCATTAATTTTAATCGACACATTAATATTTCATTATTATCAAAATGGATTTACTGGCAGGTTTCGTGGCAAAATTGAATAAAATCCGCTAAAACTGTTTGAATTAACATAAGGAGCTGTAACTATTGCTAACAAGCAATAACTGTTGAAATATTTAATTCCGTTTGAAGGAACATAGCGACATTCTGCGAGAAAGACCAGCGAGACGCGCAGCAGTTTGTTTAGCAAAATTTCTTAGGTGAAAACGTTTAGACTTTTACAATAGAGTACCAAAGTGATGACGTCATTAAAATTTTTTATTAGAATTTTTGAATTTTGATCGCAGAACCTAAACGAGCATCGTGAAATACCTCTAAATATGCAAAATCGGTCAAAGGCATTACGATTTAGTTGAGATATGGCCACTTGAGCACAAGCTCTTGCCCCATCAAACCTCTGTAATTTGGTCTTGGTTCATAACTTTATGAACCTGGCCAGAATAACAGCAATCCGTTAGCAACTTGAAATCTTTCATTGGTCATATCTCACCCAATTTGGAACATATCTAGCTAATTTTGCATTTTAAGAGGTATTTCATGCCGTTCTTTCAGATTATGTGGTCAAATTTAACAAATTCTAAAAATAGATTTTTGATGACGTCACACTTCGGTAGTCTATTTGAGTGGACATGGTCTTAACTTTGACATACCTTGCCTACGGTGGGGCCAACGTTTGAAGGTAGTATCAGATTGTTGGTTCCATCCTGAAATGTAACAACTAATTTGATGAGGGAAGGTAGAAAGGTTAGTGAGGAATAAAACAATGGAGGAATTCATGTCAAGCTTTTTTGTCGATTACCTTGCAGGCAAATATGCATCCGCTGTTAAAAGTTCTGATCAATAAAAAAGCATAAGATAGTTATTTGAAGGAAAACGAACTTTTGACGGTAAACTTTTACAGCTAATATTGTCAGATATGGCTAAACAAAATAAAAAAGCAGACAATCCAGTAGATTGGTTACACCTGAATGCCTTCCTGCAAACATGAGGCGGAAGACGTAACAGGCAAAGTTGAAGAAATAAAAGAAATTTTTGGGGTACAATTTACAGTCCCATCGGCGGGCGTTTCAATAAAAGCGAGGGGCGGACACTTGGTCAAATATTGGGGGGGGGGGCAAGCCTATTGTTTTAATAAGATGACATCACATTTCACATTGTTTGAGAATAAAAGACAATTGTCATCTGAAGTATTGGGGGGTCGTCCCCCAAGGTGTCCGGCACTGATTTAAAGCTCCGTCATGGATGGTTAGGAGGGTGGGTGGTGGAATGATCTTTTCAAGTTGCAATTGCCTTACAAAAGGGGGGTTTAGAGGACACAAAATAGAGAAACAATTTACATTGTCAATTGTAATGGCATTTGATTGAAAATTTACATAATTTTTACCTTGGTGAACCAGCCAATTTCTGTTTTTATTCGATCGATGCATTCTTGCATATAAACATACTGAAAGGGAAGATCCACAGCCAAGTGAAAGAAAGGCAACAAAATTGAAAGTTATATATTGATGTGTTTAATGTAAAATAGAAAATCTTTTTTAGCTCTTTGCAAATCTTTGTAATATTTGACTGGTTTCTTGTGAAAATATTTTTTGTCGCAAATAATGTTTTAATATACCCAGTTGTGTATAGAAATAGACCAGGCGAGCAAATGAACTGAATAATTGTCCAATTAGTACTGCGTGCACTATCTGAATCGATTTACATTAAAACGAAAAAGCCACCATTGTGTAGACAGAAGGAGTTGGTTTTTCTCTTGGACTCCAGTGGTGATTTTGCTATCGGCACGGGGTATTGATGGACAACTATGCCGGTCACGTGCTCATTTTTCTGATAGGCCTATTTTTGTTTTTCTGATAGGCCTATTTCGATCCATAATGTTTTTAGTGATTTAAGTACAAAACCTAAAAATTAATTTCAGAAGAAACGAGGGACACATAATTCAACTAAGCAAGTACTGTTAGTTTATATACTAAGATGGTCACAACTGCAACTTTGGCAGATTTTGGCGAATCCAAAACAAAATTAACTGGATGTCATATTCTCGGTAGAGCTGACCCAGACCCTAGACTATTGATGATTCGCTACCTCTTATCCACTAGATCCTTGGTAAGTATGACATTTAGTTAATCAAAGTGACCGCCTATCAAAATTTGCTATCCAAACCTCTATGAAAAGTAAAAATAACTTACATAGGGCGACCGAACACGAACTTGACGAGGCTTTTTCCCAGCACGCTGATATTCAAACATGAAATTCATGGCCTCTTCATCCGCTTCCCAACTCGTTATTTCTTCCCATGTGAATGTATGCTCTTGTTCCTGGGAATAAAAACAGGAAACTTAAATTCTGAGCCAATTGGATAAAAAACATCAAGGCTATATAATTTTAGAAAGAAACTATTAGAACGCTTTTGGCGCTAAAAATATGATAACTATTGTCAATTTTTGGCATTCTTTCGCAAATTGCAATAATTGCAGAATTTTGGATATTTCAATTAACATATTTTTGCCTGCGTGTTACAAAAAAATACATTGTTTATTAACCCTTAAAGATATAACCATTTTAAATTTCTTACTCCACACTGATGATATCTCCTTACCCACAAATATAAGAATCAAATTTCTAATTATAGTTCTGTTAATTAGCCTTCATCGTGCCTTGTATTAAGCTACCATATCTATAAAATATTTGAACACACTAGGAAGTTCCTTCCCGTACAATTAAGAGACAAAATATTTCACTTCTGACAGTCGCAATAATTTTTGAGAGATACAAGCTCTTAGAATATCTACCTAATAAATTTCTATGTTAATTTCAAGCCTGGGGAATACTTACCAAAGGCGTACCGTCCTCTTGGCAGGCTTTTAGCTGCAAATTTTTAAGTGAAATCGACAATATGATTGGTCCGTCCTTCCTGGCATCACACAGGCAATGCGGAAATTGAATGCTGCCATATCCGTCAAAACTTCGAACTACATCAAGCAGCTGTCAGGAAAAAAATAGAAAAGGATTTTTAAAAATTTAACTGTGTACAAATGAGAAATTGAATATTCTATGATAGAGCATAAAAGAGAAGAAATAACGAATATGAAATATTAAACTGATATTAACTCACATTTATTTTGTTTTTAGTCTGCTGTAGTTCTTTGACATGGGAGATTTGGTCATCTGGAATTTTTATTCGATTTTTTCGAATATCTTCGATTGCCTGCAAGACAAAATATTCAGTTAAAATCGCATTATTGTGCTTAACGATAAACATTCAAACTGCAAAAAATATTTTACAAATCAAATCGGGTTTATTTATTGAAAAAATATTGAGAGATGATAAGAAAAAAAAATAAAATATGGCTGGATGATGCATAAATCTCACTTTTGAAAATCTCAAAAAAATATTTTCTAAATATTTCTTAGTAAGTCTTTCTTTAATATATAATTTGAAAACACAGATAGCAGCCGAATGACGCACTTAAATTTACAATATAGCTACATTAGCTTTGGGTTTTGTGAAGACAGAAGTTTTTAATACGCCCTCTTTCCTGTTCTTAATCAATAAAAATTAGGCATTGTACTTCATAAATAAACTATTTTTATGCACATGCGACATTTTATGCATTCGCCTAATTTTTCCAGCTGAATCAGTCAAAATTATCTTACGGAAATGTGGAGCTTGCAATTCGAAACATTTCTATTCTTACAAAACCTTTCTTACCAAAACAGATTTTTTTTGAAAGATCATTACGATGAAAATAGAACACGAATCATTTTTGTAAAATAGCCACGATGTCTGGCTTTAACTCCTAAAATACAGCAAAGGAGATGATCTTGTCGAAAAAGACAACGATTTCGTCACATACCTGCCAGAACAGTATATTAACAGCAACTTCATCTTCGTTCATTTCCACCTCCTAGAAAAGATTATCAACTCTCTTGAAAATGCAAAAGATATAAACTCTAGCAAATTCAACTGACTCATATAGAAAACTCTGTCTAATTTAAACTTGTATAATTCGAGTTTTTTCTAACTCGACCAAAATTCTCAGGTCTCTTGAAGATCTCCTGATAAACCTTTGCAAAATCCTCGAATTTTATGACTCAAGCTTTTCGTAATTCGACTAAATTTGTCTGTCCCCTGCGGAAAACAACCTTCAAATTCGAAGTTTTGCGAATTTTACGAAAAATAGATGGCGATAAAAGTACTTTTTTTTCATTCATTGATGCTTTTGCAATTTTTAGATGCTATTTAAATCATTTCCGTCAAAATATGCTTGGGAAATGAGGCAAATAAGTTCGAGGAGTCATGGCCTGCACTCGTTGGCGTGTTTCCACTTGCCTTGCAAGTTACGATTGTATGAACAAAGGCCATACAACGATTGTATGAACAAGGTTCAAGGATAACTGAAACAAATTCCTGGATTTTTTTAAAAACTCGTGTATTTTGAACTTTTTTATGATCCACCAGAAAGTTCATATTTCACAAACGTGACTGTACTTCTAACCTTGAAGAGCAAGGAAAGGTACAAGAATTGGGTTTAAACGGCCTACCTTGGTAAGGGTGAAGATCCACTTTTTAAAGATGAGTTTGCTTTCTGATTGCTTGTAAGTTTTAACATAGATACTGTGAGGAAACTCTGTATCTTCAAGCTTTCGATCTAAAGTGGGGAATTTAGATACGTGAATTTTGACAATAAAAGGCAAACGTTTACCAGGCAAAAACATGAAAATTTGTTAAATCACGAGACAGGAAATTGCTTTAAAAATTGCAATAATGATTTATCAATGAGAATGAGAAACAAGAAAATATATTTTTTCTTGCAATTGAATTAAGGTCTAGATAAAAATCTCTTGACACAGCACGGAATCAAGCAGGGATGAATTTTATCTCGAGCTGAGATATGGCGAATATTGAATTTTAGTTTTACTTTACAAGACTTGTCAAGTCAAAGTTGAAATGGGCCTATGAATGTGAGATGGTTTTGCTGTAGGCAGAAGCTTTCTCAGATGGATGGTTTCAACTAGAAAACAGATTTTCTCGTCGCTGGGTTGAAACTCAACCCAAGTTGACATTTTTCAGGTACAGTTTGCTGTTAGGGAGAAAGAAAGATAATTCTGATACTATGGCAAAGATCAGGTAGAAATGAACTCACCAAAGCCGTTTTCCTTTACTTCGAATAACGCAAAGAAAGTTGCACTGAAATCTGACAAGCCAATCTTTCTTACAACTGCCTGAAAAAAAGCAAACATAAATTTTAAAACCCACGTCTCTTCACGAAAGAAATGGCTTCTAGGCACACGCGTTTGAAATCTTGAGTGTGTTTTACATCTCGCTTGTAAAAGAAACACGTCACATTATTTACAACTAAATGTTATTGACAATTAAGCCAATGTTTTAAACTGCAAGGAACTAGAACGATTTTCTAATATACGCCAACATGGCATCTTAAATACATAACAAACAATTTTTAAAAGCAACTTCATTTAGGCATTGTACAAAAAGAGCAGTTCATTTTACTAAAAAACAGTAAGATATCATGTTAAAAATTAAGCCAGAAATAGAGAATTCACTTCCCGTCTTTGCATCACATGTTTAAGCAAAGGAGGTAAAAACAACAACATACCTCGTAGACTTTCTGCGTTTTAAAGCTTCTTTGCACGTTGACTAAGACCATGCTCCTGTCAGGCAGGATTATGCGCAGTTCTGTGTTGACGTCACCAGTGAGTTGTTTCGGCTGAAAAGAACACCAGGGTTATCAAATTTGAAGGATATTTGAAAAAGAGGGAGTTTTATGATGGCTTATAGCAAAGAGTCCCCATATTGCGGAGACCACATTGGAAAAAAATAACCATCCGTCCACAATTATATTGGTAATCAATTTTCACGAGAAATCGCAGAATTGTTCGTTATTTTCGTCAAAGAATCAAAAATTATTTTTTTGAGAGTTAATTTAACAGAATTTCAAAATGTCCTCACTGTCATTCCTGAAAATACAAATTTGCCTCAACTGTCAGTTAAGTGGTCACAAACAGTGGCTAGCCGTGAACAAAAGCTCCTTACCTCTGGTTTTTCAGACTTGAGAAAGTCCTGAACTATATCACTTTCTGACATCACACGAACACTGACAGCTGCAACAGGATGATATGCAAATTTCTTAATGGTACCTTAATGTATACACACACACATACAGATATGTAGCCCAAATTTCTTCTACCGAGGGAAGGAGGGGGCTTTCTTTTCAGCAAAGATACAAAACATAAAAACTCTTGTATAAAACAACAACTAAAAGTTCTTAAAATCAATGAAACTTTCTAACACTGCAAGCGGTGTTGACTCAAGGATTTCGGTCGAGGGGGCAAGAAACAGGGGCGGACAATTGGCCAAATATTGGGAGGGGGGGCAAGCCTATTATTTTAATAAGATAACGTCACATTTCCCATTGTTTTAGAACAAAAGGCCATTGTCCTCTAAAGTATTTGGGGTGGGGGGGGGGTGGAGGGGGGGGGTGAGGCGGCCCCCCCAAGTCTCCGCCACTGGCAAGAAAGGTAATGTGTCTCAGACCATTGTGAAAAAATCTAGAAACCCTAGTACTAAGGCATTTGAAGGCATAAACCTTATACAGTACCCGCCCCGTCTCAGGATCTTACCACATATAAAGTGTACCTTACATAAATATCACAATCGGGACTATGGTAAAAAGTCTTGAACACAAATTTATAAATTTGTGAAATAGCTGCAAAATCACCTTCCTCCAGAAATGTTTCTAAGCCACGCCGTCTTGTGTCTAGTTGCTGATCAGACAGCTGAAAAGGCCATTTTCCAGGAAACTTTGGGAATGAAAAATCCCTGAATCTCTTTTTAAGCTGCAATATGGAATGAAAATGAATTAAAATTACAGCCAGAGCCAAATAATTTATTGCCTGTTCACTTAGTTTTTCCCAAGTCAAACAAATCAATTCTTTTATTTCTTTGCTCAGGTTTTAAATACTTATTGCACTGCAAAAAGCTGAGTTTTTGTGTAGTTTAGGTACAGTGTTTACAGCAAGTGAGATTTGCTGTTTTCCTGACACAACCCTGTAGACAGGCTATTTCGAGTGGCAAATCTGTTTATTATATTGAAGTAACTAATGAAATATTTGCTGGCCTCAATATATCACTTTCTTGATCTTCAATCCCTATTAAAAGTTTCTTGACTTTCATAAAATGGCTAATGGAGTTTCTTTGCTAGTTTCTTGCAAACAAATTAAGAATAATCAAACAATTGTCTTCTACTTATGAGATAGTTACCAAAGTCAAAAAAATCTTATTGGCTTTACCCTATTTAACAAACAAAGATTTTGGGGTATGGGCTTGGACAAAAGGAGGGGCTTATTAGAAGGTGTTGTTGTTGCAACAGGTGAAAATATTACAAAGGCAAATTTTCTTCAACTATTTAAGAACAGACAGTGTGCTTTAAAATGCAGATATATATATTTTGGGATATATCTATTGCTGGCAAGGCAATGTACTTCAGCCCATGGGGGCTTAATCAAGGGTAGGGGGTTACTTCACAAAAATTACTTTAAGGGGGGGGCTTATTTGAAGGGGGGCTTATTCAGAGGTGGGGGCCTATTTGATACTTACAGTAAGAAGAGCAACAAACAACGTAAAATTGTGAAAATTACTTTTCCATTATACACAGCTGATTTATCTCACAATATGTGACCCATACTACTCACTTCAGAACAGAGAATAGCAAATTCCCTGTATCGCCTTGCACAAACATATTTCCCTGATACATAGATATTATACACCTGAAAAATAAAAAGAAAGTTGAGAAAGATTTGGTCGAGATTGTTGTACTGAAAGGAAAGAGGCTAAACTTGTGGTACTAGGTTAGTGAGCTTGTCTGGGGGCAAGCTAAAACAGAAAAAATACTGAAAAATCAAGAAAAGGAAAAAGGAAATGAGGAGGGAGACAACCAGGAAACAGGAAGAAGATGATTACAAGGAAAGAGATGAACCATTTCTGCTGGTACAAAAATTATACAAAGCTTTACAAAACTGAATTAAACTGAACTAGAGCTCAGGTTTTGTGCCAACACTATAATGGTGACATGTTTCAAGTGATTGGTAGAGCCCAGTCACTAATCCATCGAGCAGTTTTAGAATTCATCAACAGAAAAATGAAACAGCTGCTATTCTATAAACAGAAAGAGGCTATTTTCACTCTTGTACTCCCTTGGTAATATATTCTTTAGGCAAACGGCACTGATTGGACAAACTATATGGTCATGTGCTTCTTTTTCTGATTGGCCTATTTTGAACAACAAATAAGCATATATATTTCTTAGCTTAGAGTTATTGATCAATGTTCTGACGTCTTATACCTTTAAGAGTGTCAGATGGACAGCTAAGGTATGTTTCGAAACAAAGAAAATAAAAAAGAAAATAAAGAGGAAAAAAAGGAGGAAAGGATATTATAGTTTATTACCAGTAAATGTAACAAATTGTCAGAGCCATGTATTTGCAAACCTTTTAATAGAGACAAAAGCAGGGCTCAATGTATAGAAATAAGCAAAACCAAATCACATACCACATACTTCTGACCATGAGCTTCTTCTGTTCTTGTATCAGGTATTGTTATTGGAATGCCTCTTCTTTCAGAATAATCATATGGATCAACTGGTCCTGCAGCATCAGCTGGTCCATCCAGTTTTCTGGCTTCACTTGGTGTCACTGATATAACAACCATTTCCAAGGTATCTTTCCCTTGGCGAATGAGCTCAACTACCCTCTTGTGATCTGCACCCTCAACTGAGATCTTGTTTCTGTAAACAAATTAGTAAAGGAATTCCAGCATACAATTTGAATGAAAGGAGCCATAAATTTGCTGTCAACACAGTAGAAGAACCATGATAGGCAATGGGGTCATGTGTCGGGATTTTGCAGAAACAGACATAAAGTGCCTATTAGCAGCTCAAGAAGGTGCTCCTTTTTGCCTTCACGTGTCCTAATAGGCTAGGCTTTTGCCTTCATGTATCAGACTAGGCTTTCACTGGAGAAATAATATAACAGGGTTTGCCCACTAGCACAATCTTACTTATCAGCTGGCAGCAATAACCAGTGCAAGAAAGTCTACGGGTTCACAAAATAAATTAGCCTTCTTGTAAACTACACAATAACAAAAAAAATATTCACCAAGAGTGAAATGAAAGGCATTATACTGTTAGCAATTTAGTATGCCTAGTAAAATTCATCTTTGCCAAAGTGGAAAAACATTATTTCAATTTCAATGCATATTCATCCGTAGTTGTTTATGTTTCTCATATTTATGCATCTCTTGTTCAGCTTGTATTTAAACCCATTTTGATTTACCTTCATTGCTGAAAATGGGAGGAGTTTTGTCTCAAAATCTATGAATGGCCTAGAATAATCTTTGTTATTCTTTAACAGATTGTAATTATTCCTGGATGAGTCAAATTATGACTACCAATACTGATGGAGTGTCTCTTGAATAAAACCTGATGTTCACCATGGCCATTGTGTTAAAAGTTATTCCAACTCTTCCTTAATTGTCAAATTTTACATTTAAGTTAATCCTTTGTAAACTTTGATATGAGTAAATATCAAATCATTAAATGGAGTCATTTCTAGATGAACACAATCTGTTGCTCAGTTTGCAGCTGATATGGTCAAGGTACAGCTGCTACAACTAAAGTCTTTCAATAGTCTGGCGTCTTCTATTAAAAGACTTTGCTACAACTAAATTGTCACAGCTATAATTTACTTCACCTCTAACTGTAAAATTTGCAGAGTAAACAACTTTCTAAGCTTGCAGGTCAAAGCTGAAAAGTTATTGTTACTTGAAGCTTAGCATGTGCAGAATACGAAAAGATTTTTACAAGGGGGGACATGCTTTGTTGTGCAAGAAGGATTCAAAATTATATGGTATTTCCTTAAGACTGAGACATAATATGAAGGGTGTGCTTCCATTTCGTATAGAACAGGGATTATTGAATGTATTGTTTGCACTAAGAATATTGATAAAAATCGCATTTTCAGTAACAGCATGATCTAAGATCACAGCCCAAAATATTTTCGGTGAGTGTGTTAAGCATAAAACATTTTCATCCAAAGTTGGTCTATCAATAAACAAAACGATTTTACCAAGAAAAGTAAAATAAGGCTGCTATCAAAATTAACGCCATTATTTTGCTTATCTCTAGCACTTAGCTTGGAAAGTTTTGCTCTACATATACATCTGCAACCTGGTTGCCAAACTCATTTGCGTTGAGCTAGAAGGAGTTGCGAACGTATTGTCTGCGAGCAACAGCTGAAGCAGATGAAAAAACTACAGCTGCAATACTTACACTTCCAGGATTCTATCGCCAATCATAATGCCAGCTTCCTCGGCAGGTCCACCCTCAAGTACAGCACTGATCATTTGCAATGGTGGGTAGAGCACCCCGTTTATTGACTTCAACTGCCCTCCTTCAGAAACCTGTCCTCGCACATTAAAGCCAAAACCACGATCTCCTTTCTTGAGAACAACATTTCTTGGCTCATACGGGTTGTTTTGCGAGGCACCCGCATCGCTTTCGTGGTCGCCAATGGAGCCACGATCCGATCCACTGTCCGCCATTTTGCAGCCTTTTCCAAAGAAGAGGAAGCTCGTGATGCTCCTTCGTACTTACCAGACAGCAGGTTGGTCACCGATACCGGGTCTCCAATTTCCCTACACTTTTCCGCCTAAAGTTTTTTTACAAGATTTCCAACCCCTTTCCCCGCCGAGAAAAATCACTCGAAATGTTTATACATGGGACTAAAATATTTTGATAAAACCCAAAAATATCAACATAACACTAGTCACAGTAATTAAGAATGTTTCCTGAAATAATTAGTTGAACACATCTGTTCATTTATTCATGTTTCCGATATCGTTATGCGTTAGTTGGACTCATTAAGTTTCAAAAAAGCGTATTGTTAAATCAGGTTCCCAAAGTATAAAATCGCAAAGAAAATTCAAACCCAAAATTATCGGATAGACTATAAAAATTTCAAGTGATCCCCCTCGGGCTTCTTCGCTTGCTAGTTTTCCAAGTTCAAAATTTACTTGAGAAATTCCAGTGCTTTTCCTATGATGTGCGATCTTTTACTAAAGACACAATTCCATGTTTCTCTTTTGGGTTTTCTAGCCTGCACTAATTAAAGCCTACTTGCTTACTAGAATTTGAACCACTCCGCTAACTCTAATCATCTTTAAAAACCCGAGAGTAGACCTCATCACAAGCTCTGAAGCGACATTTTCAAAATGAGGTGAACTTGAGTGAAGTTTTTAAAATCATGGTTAAAAAATACTTCTGGGGCCCCTTTCAGCTGGGGGGCCTTTAAATAACGAGCTAAGGTACCCTAAAGTGCGTTACACCACTGTTCTAAGGTCATCAAAAGGGAATGTTTTTGTGGACAATTTACCCCTTGACCCCAATCTTATCACCCCACAAGTTTGTTCTCACTATGGCCCTGGAAAATACTCCCTTGTTATCTTACATTGATTTCTCTATGAAATCGCATCAAACGTTGAAGGTCTCTTTCAGTGGCGGAAATTCATTTTTCAAGTTGGGGGGGGGGGGCAATGCCTACAAAAGCAAGCAAATTTGCCGACAAATAACATAATGTTGCCGACAAAATCGACAATTTGGCAAAACATTGGAGGCGGTTGCCCCCCACACCCCCGCAATTTCCGCCACTGGTCTCTTTTAACATAATTCGTACACAATTCTTCCTGTTCAACAGCAAAATCTTCTCGTTTACTAGCTTAATTATTTAGGACGCGAAAAAAAGCAAAAAGAACAATTTTTCCAGCCAAAAATATATCAATAAATCACAAACAAGGCCTTGCGAACCAGTATTAACGATCATTCCAAAAGATTTAACGAGGGCTTTTGCACAAAATGTTTGGAAAAACAATAGCAAAAGTAGAAATTTGCCAATTTTCGGTAGCAACACCTTCCTTCAAGCTCCGTGTACATTTTATTGGAAACTGTGACAGATAATGTCCGAAGATAATACCTTAGGTTGATGAAATATTAAAGAATTGGGGGAAAAAATTGCACTTATGGGATAAATGTTGCTAATACATAACAGAAATTTAGTAACTAACAGGCGAGAGAAAAAAAAATCCGATGAAAGATATCAGTGAAATATTGCGAAGATATACGAGAAGGGAATAACTGTTCGTTGTTTGCAGGTTTTCTTTGTTTGGACTTAATTCGTAATTCAAATCATAGTTTTATCAAAAGAAAGACATTTGAGGGAAGATTATTTGTCCGTAGTTTGAAAGTAACCTAATCCTGATTGGAAGATGTTTACAATATACTGGTGTCACTAACTGTGGGCAACAAACTGTCTACAACTCTATACGAGCGGCAGCTCATTCTTACAAACAGCGTACGAGATTTACACCAAAACAAATGGATTCCCAGTAATTTCAGATAAAACAATAAAATTTCCACGATGGTTTACTAAATTTTTATAGAGTGATTTGCCCCTCGACTCTGTATTAGTGAAGCTTAGTGGGCGATGAAAATTTTACAAGAAAGATGCCATCTTGAGTAAGGGGGAGTTTGTATAAACTGATGCAAAATTTGAGATTGAAGACGAGGGCTAAAAAAGTATAGCTGGATGTCGAAAATCTTTGGTGAATATTGTATAAAATGACGAGAATTGACCAATGGACAATAAAGGGTATCGGGAAAGGGCAAAAATTCTGTAGAAAGGAAAAGTCGTTACTGTGTAGTTATGAGTATACCAAAGAATTCGATACAAATCTAGTCGGTACAAGAGACAAAATGACTCAAGGGGCGACATACTACATCCAAATAAAAACGAAATAAATAACCTTTAGATTTTTAATGCAGACAAATTTCAGTCAGAATCTTCATCTTCGCCGTAGTCATTTGCTGTAGCCGCTAAAAATATTGAAATGTGACATTAAAAACCGCTTGTACCAGGAAGAGAAGCGAGACATGGGACATAACTCAAAATTGTTAATAAAACTGGCAATGTTTTGCTTAAATTGTTAAAAAAACTCATCAGCAAAAGATTTAATTTTTCCATTTCATTTCTAAGATATTACTAATGCAACTCTCCCCCCCCTCTAGAAAAATTTTGATAGCAAATATCATACAAGCCCATAGAAACTTCATTAATTCCCACGAAAGTTTGTAGCCAGCCAACTTTGTTTTCACAAGTAGAGGGAGAGGGCTGAATTCGAGCTTAAAAACTGACATTATTGTTCCAGGGCTTTTGGCAGTGATATAAGGTTGATTCGGTCCAACGGTGGAAAAAGTATCGGAACCTGGGAACATAGTTCCCAGAAATTTTTCTGGATGGAAATATTAGCAGAAAGTTTCACAGAAAAGTTTTGAAGTGTTAAAGTAAATTTAAAAATCTGGTGACAAGAGTTAAGTCAAATCAGCATTTAATATTATTTCAACTTGACTGTAAGCAGCTAAATATGAGCTGCCAATGGACTGTCGGGTATAGTATCTTTCAATTGGAAAGAAATTCTTTGTGCACATTCACCATCTCACAGAAATCTCAACCACTCACCATCAAAATTTTTTTTGGCAGCTGAGCTTTTTAGACAAACCATTGTTTAGACTGAGATTAATATAGGGACTGGAATCTACTTTCACAGAAATTATTTCATGTACTATGGTGTGAGCAGCATTGATCATAAGTTAATATGCTTGGTTAAAGTAATTTGGTGCATATTAGGACTCCATTTCACCATATATTTCTTCACACTTAATAATAGGCTGTGTTAAGCTTTCTCCGTAAAATGCACCATACAATTCAAATGATTTTGCCCCTGATTCTTCTGAAACTATGTTTAGAAATTATTGCCTTCTGATTTTGGTTTTTCCATCATGATGATTGACTAAATGCATAAATTTCTGGCTAAAGTTGATTTCCCTCTTATGTGCATTTATGCATCAAGTAAAGCCATATCCAATATGTTGAGTTAGGCCTACTCATAGTCAGTTGCATATAAACGTCTTGAATTTCTTCAGCTAAATACAGTATTGTAGGCACAAACAGAAAGTTTGTTTGTCTACCCCTTGAAATCTTGCAGAAAGTTTTTAGCCAGATACTTAGGTTCCCAGAAAGAAAAAAGTTTTTTCCACCTCTGATTCGGTCAAAGGAAAATCTAAAAAATGTCCCTTTAAGGCACACTTCCACTATTAAATATCTATCGATGCTCTAACTTATGAACTTAACTTATGAACTTAACTTATGTTAATTTATGAACTTGACAAAAAACCAAATAGGTTTTCCTTGTTTTTTCCCGTTTTTGCTAAGATTTAATTTGCTCCCAAGAAAATCCACACCTATCTCAAAACAATGATATGGTATTAGGCAATTTAAAGGTTATCGAAAGACAAGTGACTGACAGTAACCACCTATCAATCAGTACAACTTTAGTATCTGTTGATTGCCTTTAAAAGTAACAGAATATCAGAAATGGAAGGATGGCAAAAAGCTGCTGTTGACGATAAACTGCAAACCAAAAATGAAATAAAAAGATTGTTTTACAATTGACAAAAGCAAAAGTTTAAAAAAAAGACAGGTGTTTTATTGGCAGAATTCCTTGTTTATATTGGAAATAAAATGAAATTCATTCGATTTTGTTACACTACATCGTTGAAGTTTCTTACCCACTTTATCCTTTAGCAGCATTGCAACTTGTGGATTCCTCGCTAGATCGTATGGTTTTTTCTTTTCGTTGTTTTGAATGTTTTTATTTGCACCTTGAAAAGAGCATAAATTGTTCTCAAAACATTAGGTTCCATGCTGAAGAATGGTAATCGTCAGCTTTTGAAAATAGTTGGCAAAGGCGTTATGTTGAGACAAATAGGGAGACTTTTAGGCCATTCTGAGCTGCTCGTGCGAGGCTGTAAGCTAATTTTAAATACCTTACAAAGTCGAGGCAGGGACATGGTTTTTTAAAAGAACAATTTCTACTTCTGAGTTTTGGCACAAAAAATGCCTGACCGGAGCCAATAAGGAAGGTCTTGTAGAAGCCAAAGTTTGATTGGGTCGGCCATGATTGAGGTGGTTTCGCAGCTGCGACGTTTCTTCTGTTTTCAAATGCTCAATGCATTGCTGCCAAGAGATTCGCCTCCGTTCTAATGCTGTTTTATGTTGGAAAAATGCATTTTCTTTCTCTGTGTGTAAGTTTTTAACCATCAAATCAATTATATATATTGGTAAATCTTTACAAAAATACTGCGTTCTTGAAATTTTTCGAAATTGAATATTTTTTTGTTTCGCATACTGAAGTTTCTGATTTTTCCCGACTGCTCTGTACTCGTCTTTTATAATCAGTTTTATATATAAAAATGGTTGATTCATGACCTGATCTTTCTGTTAAAAAACATAATCAGGCGGATCGATGTACCACAAAACCCGCTGAAAGTATGCTTGAATTGACTTTCTAAAAACCACGAAACCCTTCTATTAAGGACTGGAAAAACTTGTTCCAACAGGAAACAGAAACAGGAGACAACGTACCTCGGTCCAGAAGAATCTCGACCACACTTGCATGACCCTTCCATGACGCATTGTGAAGTGCTGTGTCGCCAAGTTTATTCTGGAATTAATTTACCATACTGTTAAAAAGTTATATATCTTTCAAAAGTATAGGGTTAACATTTGTATACAGAGTGGGTATTTCCCAAATAGGGGGGGGGGGGGGGGGTCGTAGTTTTAGCAAGTCCTAAGCGAATATTTGGAGACCGTAATTTTGTGATTTAATGAGCCTTGGGGTTAGGGTCAGTTTCTCGAAGGAATGCGAAGGGTTACCATATATTATATACAGGACGGTAGCCTGAGCCCTAGACTTCTGGTTCTACTTTGGGGTCTGGAACTCAGGCTACAGGACGGTGGCTCCTGTTGTTCTGGGGGAGAGGAGGGGCAAGTCCCTAAAATTAGAAAAACCTTTGTTTCTAACAAACAATACATTTTGTTCCTATTGTTAGGGAACAAAAGAGCTCAAAATAATTTTATCCTTCCTAGGAAACTGTGATAAATCGCATATTCTTTGGTGGATATAAGTTCAAAATACCGTGTAATAAAGTCAGCCAGAAATCGTGCGCTGACTCAGAATATAAGCTTAAATATTTATTTTCCCACGAGATTTCAGGAATAAGCAATATGGTGCAAGGTAATCCCACGGGAACAGAAATTATTTGTTGAATTATTCAGTTTACTCAAAGAATGTTTAAATAAAAGAGAATTCAATTAATTGAAATATAAGATCACAATCAACGTATGATATCAAGAAAAGCAATATTATAGTAATTATTGTCAAATATAGAAGGTTTGAGTTTGCATCGGTTACAAGTGGGGAAAAGATACTTTTCCCGTCCATTCCCACCCAATTATCAATCCGATTTGAGGGTTATTGTGTATCCTTTATGTTAGGCAGGCGAATTATCTTTCCTTTGTTGTCATTTAAATATCAACAATAAACACTATTAGAAAAATATGTTTCTCAATGACAGCTGCTTCAGTCTCAAGAATATTTGACAAATATAACGGGGCAAATGTAAGTAAATTGATCAAAATACCTGCACGTTTACATCGACGTGAGGGAGATTTAAGAGTTGAGCCGCGCAATCTACGAAAAAAGTAATCAGAATTAAATACGAAGACAAATTTATAGAATTCCTAACTAAATTGGCTGAACAATATTTTTGACGGTCATAGAAAATTGGGTCCTCTACTAGATTGAAAATACTTCATGAAATAATATTGAAAAAATATTGAAAAAGGTAGAAATATTGTCAGCAGAGAAAAAGTACATCTCTCAAAAACTACGCATATAAAAAAGACAAATAATTATTGGTATTGAAATAATACACGGTCAGTATGAAACTGCTTTTATACTCTAACCTTATATGTTACAATCCTCTAATTCTTCATGAGTATTTTGTCTTTCAAAGTTACGCTGAACCGTTATCAATTCGATCAAAATTTACTTCTTTGACTACGTATATTGCATCGTGAAATGGTGAGGTGAAAAGAACAATTTATCCAGATTTCGTTCTGCTTCTTTTCACTTCATAAATCAGCTTTAAAAATCATCAACTACGACGGTGCATAAAAATCATAAGCAAAAGGAAAATTGGTTATAAAGACGAAGGCTGGCAGTGGCGTAGAAAGGAAAATTCATAGGAAAGGCGATAAATTTAGATTTCCCGACTGGAATCTGTAAGCCAGTTTATTTTTGTGATAAGTTTGGACATAACATAACTACATTAGAACAGAAAAAGCAGAAGATGAACAGAAGGTCAAGGCAAGTGTCACAAATTGTACTATTTGATGATATTATGGTCTCCTCCTCTAAAAGGCGTCTTAAGTAGGCCTACTATCCCTAATTGAATGAGATTGCCCATCTGATTCAGAGCATCGAAGAAATTGTTATATTAACTTTAAAAGTCTTTCCTCTTTAAACGTAACATTTAAACAAAAAAAATGACAACCATGTTATATTTCCATGAGGATCACAAGTTTTCCGATAAGATAGCAGATTAGCCTAACAGGTGTGTCTTTCGCCCCCTGACTCCCTCTATCTGCGGCACTGAAGGCAAGTATATTTACCAAAATGGCCTCCTGATGCAGCCCAGTGGAGTGCTGTTGAACCAGACTTATCAAGGCTATTTGGTGACACCTAGACGAAACAATAAACCTTCAGAGAATTAAGGCCATTTGTCCTATTTTGAAAATTCAAATTTGATGAACATGTTTTGATGTAGCACAATGCAGTGTTTTTGTCTATAAAAACAACGGGATAACAATAAAGGATAAAACAAACAACAATACATACCTTTTATGCTAATATAATTTAAAACATTATTTCAAACAACTTTTGAGGCCTGCACTAAAATATCTTGTATATATTAAATAAAAATTATGGCAGACTTTGCCAAATAAAATTAAAAAGTCCCGATCATTAGAAATATTTAAAAGAAATATTAAGTCCATCAAAACTTTGGACTGCAGCTGCAAATTGTGCAAAGATTTTGTTCCAAATTTAGGTTTTTGTAATTAATATATTTGTAAATTGTAATTGGTACATTTTGTATAGTTGGCCTTAATTAGCTAAACGCTATTTTCTCCGCCAACTCTAAATAAATTGTTTATTATGATTATGATTGTTATTATTATTATTAATAATTATCATTACTTGAGAAACTTATATTGTTCCCCTTCTAGTTTTCTTCCCCTTCTATTTCCTCCTTTATGGATTATTGGTATGAATTGTGTCGTTTTCAATTTTCGCTAGATGGTTGAGTTAATCATAGAGGAAAGTTTAAGCTGGGTTTTCTTGGGCAAATGCAAAGCTAGAGTCAGCTGGCATTGTGCAAATTGGTTCGTGCTAGAACTAAATTCTTAGATCTACATGTTGGCATAAATTGGTTATGTTTCAAAGCTGAGCAAAGAAGTCCTAATCTATGGTAGGGAAAGATTTTAAAAATAGAATCAAATATGAAAGTATTTGGTCCTAGCAACTTTGTTTTACTTATATTAAGAGAAAACATGGATCAAGATTTGATCTTAACAAGTAAATAAAGAGCAAAAAAGCTTTTAAGATCAATAATATCTATTGGACATACCTTGTTTAGGATGCATTCTTTCAAAAATCCCAAATTACCTGGATGTAAAAATTGTTTGATTCTAACATCGATTAAATGAAACCTAGTCAGTGTGATATATGCATCAAGTTCAAGGGGCTATTTTTGTGTAATAGGACTGGACGCTAGTCTACATAACTCTATGATAATTTATGTCACTTGTGTATAGTATGTATTGTTGTAATTATGTTATGATCATTAGTCAGTTTCGAGTCTCAACAGAGTTTCGAGTCAGCACGTGATCATCATCGCTTCTTACCATTTACGACTATTCATAAATAACAGCTACAATGCCTGCCAAAAGAACTTGGAACACCCAGCAATTTACGCTGCATTTGATATCTTTCATTCCTTTCATGAAAAAAATTGCCACTTCCGCACCCTTCCCCCTAAAACAATGTTGATGATTTAGAGAAATATCATAAAAGAAGCGCAAAAGAAAGTGCTTCCTAAAATCCTAACCCGTTTGATAGTAAACAAACATTGTTCTGTAAGGGAGAGGGGGATGAATGATTTTGACCTTGGAAATTGATGTCAGTGTTCCCAGACTTTTGACAGGCATTGTAGCCTTAACCTATAACCTGCAAATTTTTGCATGCGAAGATTTAAACAGTAATTTATGCTCATAAGGTTAGGGGCTCACGGTACCCGAAAATATCTTTCGTTGTTCTGTACTCGATATGGAAGTTAAGTTTCGAGACTTTGAAAATTGGGATATACATTTTTGATATCCCACTTCTTTTCTGGTCTGCTGCGTGGAAACAAAAGATGACGTCATTTGGCAGTTCTCGGTTGGAGCTTGTTGCCCCAGCTGGTTTAATCAATGGCCGTCGTTTCTTTTCTTTCGCTTGTAAAGGTAGATGGAGGACGCGATGGACCGTTGTAGTGGAGGTGGAAGTAGAAAAAATGGCTTCGGTGTTTGTCATCGGTATAAACGAGCAAATCTTGTTTCTGTGTTACGAGACGCTTGCACACTCGCACCATTTCTCGCACCATGACTTTCACCGAAATCATACCCTCACATTTCTCCCCCTCTCTCGTTTGAAACAAAAATTTTGTTTCCACAAAGTAGATAATCTTTACATAGACCGACCCCCATGCATTTGAGGAATTACTGAATTATCACAATTTTTGTGCCTCTTTGAGGATCTCATGGGTTGTTGGTTTGGCCAATTTTGGTTCGGGTTCTTTCTTGAAGGTTATTTTTGACAGCCTAACGATCGAAATTTATCGTTGAGTCATTAATAACGCTTTTTGTATCTAAAGCCCTGGCCAAACGAGCCAACATTTCGCCCAACATTTCGCCCAACATCTTTCCAAACAATGTTGGGAGTTGTTAGGAACGCTGGCCAAACGATCCAACAATTCACCCAACATTTAGCACAACCATTTTTGGGATACTTTTTGGGATTGAGTCCAAGACAACCTAAGCCTGCCATCCCTGATCTTGAAAGCAACGCTTTTCTTTTCCTCAAACCCCTATTAATCTCCTTTACGGCCTCGTCGTACTAATCTTTACTCACTAAATCTTATTCTTCGTACTCTTCCATTATCCAATATTCTTCAGTCGTCCAAATCTATTCTACGCTCTTCATCTTAAAATTTTGATCTCTGCTTCACGAACTCGAGCTTGGCGCACAGCGCTATTCACTTTTAAAAATTGTTTACAGCGCTTGCGTGAAGCCAACAAATGTTGGGCAACCCGGCCAAACGAGCCAACAACGCAAAACAGCACCTTGAACAATAGGGATTATTTTAATTACCATCCAACAGCCGCCAACATTTTTGACCAGTTTCAAATCGATCCAACAATTCAGCCAACATCTTTCCCAACAATGTTGGGTGACCCAACATGGTGGCCAAACGACCCAACATTTGAGCCAACATGCGAAAAAAGCGTGTTGGCTGAAATGTTGGGTGAAATGTTGGCTCGTTTGGCCGGGGCTTAACGTCACTCCTATATAGTGACAACACGTTGCTGGACTGACGCCTGCTGTTGGTTGCTTCGCTTCGTTCGATTGTAAAATAGAAAAGTTGTTATTATTGGAAATTCGCTGAATCTCGAGTTTCAATCACTGAACTCTGCAATACAAGCCAGGGCCAACTGGCCCCAGCTCGAGGGGCAATTCACTCTTGCAAATAGCGTACGAGATTTTGCCTAAAACAAAAGGATTTCCTGGGATTTTCAGATAAAACAATAAGATTTTCACAAAAGGTGTACGAGATTTTTTTAGAGTGATTTGCCCCTCGCCCCAGCTTACAACTTGAATATTGGATTTTCCAAATTTCAAAAAGTTTCCAAAATAAACATGTTTCATTAAAATCAGAATAGTAGTCAAATCATACTAAATTCCAAAAATGTTTTCCCAAAGAGGAAAAATATGGGGGAATTATCCTAAGTCTGCAACCCCTATACCTTAGCTATGCCACCACAGAAACATAAAAATAATTTTTGCACCTCTTTTTGCTGCTTCATGCATTGGGTGATCAACAGATTCTGTGCTTTCTTCAACTACAAGGGAGAACATTATATGTTTGAATTGAAAAATAGAACTTATAGTCAAAAGAGTTTTCAATGTCATGGCAATGCAGGCACCGTGGAGCATTGAGAAAAATGGAAGGGGGGCTAAAACCGTATAAAAAGAGGCTTTCTGGTAGTTTGATACTTAATATTTGGCATTTTTTGCAAAAAGTGGAGGGGGGGGGGGGCTAAAGTCCCCCAGCCCCCTGCTCCACGGTGCCTGCAATTTCAGGATAGGAATAAACAGGTGAGGTCATGTTTGAGGAGCTGTTCTGTTATACTGATTGAAAACATTAGGAATTATAATAATAATGATTAAATTGTTTACCGTAATTTGATGGTATCATTCCCTCTTTACTGCCCACTTTTGCCCTCCACCAGCCACTAGGATTATTCTACAAGAGTTCAGAACAAAATTATGTATCAAAAAGGGTCAGAAAATTTAAGGAGCAACTGGAGAGATTGAGCTGAAATGTGGTAGATGTATAAGGAGAGGTAGGCTTATAATTTCAATGTCTGATAATTCAGAGAGATATTCCCTCATTCAAGAAAATAATTTCCCATTCATTATCATATCTGTATGAGACAATTAATTGAGCTTTTGAAACATTGAAGAAATTTTTGTTTCCTTTTAAACAGGGCCCACACCAAGAGTTTAAAGTGGGTGCGGGGGGCAAGTCTAGCAAAAGTAGGGGACCAAGGCTTTTCCCTTTTCACTGTAGCTTTAAAATTACTTGCTTCACAAAAAAGTGGGGGGGGGCATTGCCCTCTGCCCCCCGGTAGCATGGTCCCTGTAAAGTTTGATTTGATATGAAACTTTGACTGTATGCATCACAAAAACAAGCATTCTTTGATTAACTTGTATTGCTGATCCTAAAAAAGCAGCTTTCAGGTTTCAAGCAGAGTTAGTTTCCTTGTTGCAGTAGTCGAATCATTGCTTCAAAAATACTTTTGATTTGATGACATCAGCGTGTAAGGCCTGCTTTTAGCAAACTATAAAGTAAGGAAGATTGCTTTCTACTGCTCTTCTATGTATTACTTGATGCCTTTTAGCAGTGTAAGGCCTGCAGTTTAGCAAACTATAAAGTAAGGAAGATTGCTTTCTACTGCTCTTCTATGTATTACTTGATGCCTTTTAGACAGAACCTATGTATTACTTGATGCCTTCTACTGCTCTTCTATGTATTACTTGATGCCTTTTAGACAGAACCTATGTATTACTTGATGCCTTCTACTGCTCTTCTATGTATTACTTGATGCCTTTTAGACAGAACCTATGTATTACTTGATGCCTTCTACTGCTCTTCTATGTATTACTTGATGCCTTTTAGACAGAACCGTTCTCACAGTGGTTTGCAAAACAGAACAATACTAAGTTGCAAACTTTGAGTTTAAAAGAATAATTGGACTTTTTTGATGGTTGAATCATGTAAAGAAACATATTCTGCATGAAATAGCATGCAAATCAGTATACAGGTTGGTATATTATACACTTAGTGAGCAAAAGTATTGCACAGGCTGAGAAAGAAATGGCGGCACTGCAGCAAAAACTTTTAATGAACCAAAATTCAAATGGCCAAAGCAAGTTTCATAAAAGTTATAAGATGAATGGACAATTCATCACGGTTTGATGCTTGAAATAGTTAATGCAAAAATATTCCTGATTTTTGCCTATATCTTAACAATATCGAGATTTGCAAAAAAACAAAAATTGAACCATGATGATTGTCTTTGCACCAATTTGCGATATCTATTACAATGATCTTGGGGGTACTTTATGCTTGGGTATCTAGAACAGCTCGTTTTTCTCACTTTTGTTGGAGAATAAGCTTAAGGTTTTGGTCGGAAATTTTTAGAGCTGCAATGGGCCTAGTCGCAGCGGCCACTTCATATGTTGCAGCAAAATTCAATCAATAAAATGTCACAAATCATCCACTCTTTCTTTTCCAACCAATTGCGATGGTTTAATGGGAACAAATAACGCTGCAAATTGCGCAAAACAGAATTCCGTCCTCTCATTAATTGAAAATACCAAAATTCATGCAATAAACTGGTTCACTCAAGTGCCTCAATAGCTGTAATAGAGTAGGTTTAATAAAATGGCTTAAATATGCCACTTTCCATCAAATACAAGGCCATTTATGATAAACTTTGTACTTCAACACCTAAATGTGATCTTGCAAATGTTTTTCTGAACTTTTAATGTCGCCATTAACAGAACCTGTTTCAAAACTTTTTGACAAAGTTTTAGCAAGTCTCACAAAGGTTTTCTAAGCTGCAAGACTGTCCAATAAAAAGTTACATTTTTTCCTTCTTTAAAAGTAACTTTTCACATCTCTAAATCAAAAATTGTTGCCAGCAGATTGAAGATTGGTTTGATTGGTTATTATCTATAAATAGACACCTAATGGCTTCACAAAAGTGGTTTTATTTTTTACCATCATGTTGTTTACAAGGTGGTCGCCATTACTCATCTGTCAAACCTGTGCAATACTTTTGCTCACTAAGTGTATAATTATGGCTTGAAGGTAAAACCTAAAAGATAATGGCCTAGAAATGTATGTCTGACAAATCTTGGTCTAACAAAACAAATTCTGCATTCTATGGGACCTTGGCAAATTTCAGCTCAAACCAAACCTTCATTAAGATGATATTCTACATAAGATGATATGTCTCTGTTGCTTCCTTTTGCCATCTTCAGTTGGTTTTGTGTGATTTCAGATAATGTAGGATTCTTGGCTTTGGCAAAATTAGGAAAATGTTTTAAGAAATCAGGATTAGCTGTAAGTGAGCACGGCCTTCTCTATATTTGAGGTTGACAAATATTTCAGATTGGAAAAAAAAGAATAATTACATGATTACCTTGTCAATAATATACAATATATCTCCCTCTTGGAAACTTAGTTCATCTTCCTACAAAAAACAGACATGCCAATAAATAATAAATTGAACTTCAAATAAAACATTTCACACTTTTGTTAATGTTTAATCTTTCATCTCCATCAATCAAATACATACATACGGAAATTAACATGCAAGAAAATAATAAACTATAAATTCAATTAATTTGATTTGGAATTTTTCCTGCAAATCTAATGACTTTATTGAAAATCTGGCACACTTAAAACAAAACTTGCATGAAATGTTTTTTTAAATTTTATCTGAAACTAAAGGAATTTAGATTTTACAAACCTGTTGTGCGTTGTAGTTGTACAAAGCCCTGACAACCTGAACATGACCTGAAAATGTTTAAATGCATTTCATGAAGTGAAAAACAATGAATTTAATAAGGAAAAAACGAGCCTATAAAGAAAAACTTCAGGTCTTAATTTTAAAGATATTCTATACAAGGATGTAAAAAAGGTAAAAACATTTTTGACGGCCTGCTAATTTAGAGTAAGGTGGTATGAAAACATACCGAACAGGAATGACTTTGATGCCCTTTATGTAATAAGAGTGTTCAATCAAGGCTCCTTGGTGACACAACAAAAATACACCTTTTCTAGCTTTCATGGCAACAATTTTCAACCCTCCAACAGAAAACTTGTATTGTCTGCTCATCTCTTTGTGGAAATTTAAGCCACATACAAAATGGTTTCGAGGCTACTACAGACCTGATAACACAGCAAGTTCCTGTATACAAAAAATTTTGAGGACCCTAATGCTCAAGGTAGTGCCCTGTTTAAGTGATTAGCTTGGCTACTAAAATTCCTCCTTAATTTTTCAACTTCATACAAATCTATCTTTTTTACTCTACTTTATGTGTTTTATTGTCTCTTTAATTTAACTTAATATGTAGCTATTTATTCTTTGAAGTTGTTTAATAGGTAGTGGAATAGTTTGTCTGTAGCAGAATTTAAAAAGAATGAACTGAACTGCTCGGATGGTTGGAGTGGGAAGATGCAAAGCGAAAAATGACTTTAGTTTGTAAACGCTCTACAAACAACATTGTTATTTTAAAAATTTTGACCAAATAGTTGGCGCACAAATACAAAAAACTAACAAGAAGTATGATTTATATAAACGGAAATCTCTTTCTAGTGACAACCAAACAATATTTTCTGTGGGAAGGGCATTCTTATTCCTAGTTTTCATCAAAAATCATCTTCCTGAATGAATTGAAACTTGGTCTCGCCACTCTAATTTAACTTAACTTAAAATAACTTAAAATGACTTTTCTAATGCCTGCAATGGCTTTAATGCCATAAACATAGCTCTGTATATGAATATTAGAGTAAAGTTGAGTGGTAGACACATGGGCCTAACAGAACAGACGCAATGAGGCTGACTTACCTGGCCTAGAGGGCGGAGGTGGAGCTGGTCTTGACGGCCGCGACATACTCTAACACAAAGAAACAAAGAAAGCTGTAAATAAACAATATTTTTTCTCTTTTTATTTAGCTTCTTGTGCAGATGAATGCTGTTTAAGAGTTGAGAAATGCTCAAAGAATTTGCTGCTGCATCGTGAAATGGCGAAGCGGAGCGGACCCGGAAGAACAACAAGCGTAGCCTCGGATGTGCTTTGAAAACTAATGTGCTCATAAAGAGGTCCATAGAGTTATTAAGTTGTGACGTCACAACATACAATTTTACAATTGTTGAACCGAATTTTACAAAGAGTAAAAAGCAGTTAAACATGTTACAAATTTGACAAGCTATGGTCACATGAGCACAGGCTCTTTCACCGCAAAAATAGATTTATTCTTTGATTTCATTGACATTACCTCACCACATCTTAAAATATATTTTTCTAAAATTTCAGAGCAGTTTAGAGGTTCCTTTTCAGATAAATTTTCAACTTAGTCATTATATCTAAAATAAACTGTTCTGCCAAGAATAAAAGTACTTCAAAGACATAAGAAATAAAACTGCCCTTTAAAGAGAACAGTCTCCACGATCTTGTAGGTCTAGAAACATTGTTAAAACAAGTGATTCTGCAATCGGTCAACATCTTTTAGATAACCCAGATTGTGCAAAACTCTATAATGACAACATATTTCAGATAATTGGCAGAGCCCGGTCGTCTTTCCATGTAGCAGTTTTGCAATCGGTCTACATACAACAAAAAAACCGCCATTGTATACATGTGTAGACAGAAGGAGTTCGTTTTCTCACTTGGACTCCGGAGGTAACTTTTCTTTAGGTACGCGGCACTGATACTGGTCTTGTGCTTGCGTTTTTCTGATTGGCCTATTTCGATCCACAACTGGGTATATAGTTTGCATCATGTTCTCTCTGACCTTTATGCTGACGTTTTATGCTCTGTGGAGTGTCAGACGAAAAAGCTTTTAGCCAATGTGTTATAAAATGTTTGCTTTTTTCAAAGCCATTTAAAAAAGTAAAGTCACTTAATTATGACCCGTTTCTGCCTTTCGTGCTATCTTGCCTTACCTGTGGTGGTTTTAAGGGGTCAAAAGAGGGCTACAGCCCCGGGCCCCATGCTAATGGCATCCAGAACGGGCCCCACACCCAAGGAAAAATAACAATTATAAAGATCACGTGCTCCCCCGCAATCCCCAAATCCATTGCTTTGCTTCAACTGAAGCATATCTAAATATTAGTAAGTAATCAATAATTTATAATGGCTTTCAATGAGGTCGGGTGGTGCGGAGCGCCGTAATATAGGGCAGCGGTAATATGGAGAAGTGACTGTTGCCGTAAAATGGGGAAGTCCTCAGAAAAGGCTTTAAACGCTTGTTTTAGTCTTTTTCCACTACATTTAACGATAGATCTTCGAGATAAAGTCTATCAAATGAAATATCTCCCAGAGTTTTATCGATTTACTCCTTAAAACTTTCAAAAAATCTATCTTCGACACTCTAGCTCATTTAGGCCTGTCTTTCTTTTGTTTCCTCCACGAATATGAGGTTCATCCGCGCGTCTAACTAACACATTCGCGCGAATATATGACTTCAGTGCAGTAAGATGGAGAAGTACTTTATAAAACACGTAAAACCTTTCAAAATAAAAGCAACAGTAGCAAATTTATTAGCCTGCCACATAATTACGATACTTGTTGCAAAATTTCAACCAATATATGCGTCTTCTTCGTGTGTTTTGGTAATGGTACTCCCAGCGCTGTAATATGGGGCAGTCGGTTGCAACGCCCCCTGTTAGAATCCAAACTTGATTCATTTTACGCAAAATTTGTCAGAACACAGATTTCATTGCCATTCCATGCATGATATTGGCCAAAATCACTATATTTTCAATGGGAGAGTCATGTTCTCCCAGCGCCGTAATATGGGGCAGTCGGTTGCAACGCCCCCTGTTAGAATCCAAACTTGATTCATTTTTATAATTTTGAGTCCTTGCTAGCTCATCAGCCAATCCACCAGGTAGAGCATTTCGGGGCTTATGATCAGTATGATCAATACGGTTTCAAACAAGCACCCAGGTGTAAAGGAGCATACTGATCATAAGCCCCGAAATGCTCTACCTGGTGGATTGGCTGATGAGCTAGCAAGGACTCAAAATTATAAAAAAGACAACATGTATGTATATGTTATATATAGCAGTAAAGTATATCTATACTGACACACGCCCCTTTCAAGTTGGGCACCCTATTCTAACAACAAACTGGATCCAAGATCTCCTATAGACACAAGATTTTGTGAGAGGGCCCAATGTGATCTGGTTGAGGTTGGTATTACACTGTTTTTTCTTAGTTTTGACAAGCTGTGCTTGTCCTTTTTTATGGTTTAAAACAAACATTTTGGCCAATATCATGCATGGAATGGCAATGAAATCTGTATTTTGACAAATTTTGCGTAAAATGAATCAAGTTTGGATTCTAACAGGGGGTGTTGCAACCGACTGCCCCATATTACGGCGCTGGGAGTACCATTACCAAAACACACGAAGAAGACGCATATATTGGTTGAAATTTTGCAACAAGTATCGTAATTATGTGGCAGGCTAATAAATTTGCTACTGTTGCTTTTATTTTGAAAGGTTTTACGTGTTTTATAAAGTACTTCTCCATCTTACTGCACTGAAGTCATATATTCGCGCGAATGTGTTAGTAAGACGCGCGGATGAACCTCATATTCGTGGAGGAAACAAAAGAAAGATGGGCCTAAATGAGCTAGAGTGTCGAAGATAGATTTTTTGAAAGTTTTAAGGAGTAAATCGATAAAACTCTGGGAGATATTTCATTTGATAGACTTTATTTCGAAGATCTATCGTTAAATGTAGTGGAAAAAGACTAAAACACGCGTTTAAAGCCTTTTCTGATGACTTCCCCATTTTACGGCAACAGTCACTTCTCCATATTACCGCTGCCCTATATTACGGCGCTCCGCACCACGGCGGTTGCTTTCAATCGACTGAGAAATGGCTTGATTTTGGCTTGCTGGTATTTCAGGACTGAAAAGATTGTTTAAGAAAATCTTAACCAGGAAACGTGAGAGACGTGCTCAAAACTTTTTAGCATAACTTGTTTTGATCTGATTTTTAGGCGAAGCTCAAATGAGCCAAAAAAGAAAGCACACGTTTTTTGAAACGCCATTGAAAAGTTTTGAATTTTTAAAAAAGATGTAATACATTGTTTAAAATAGCATGGATTTTGCACTTGCATAACCGCTCGCCTTTCAAGAACGAACCTATAATTCTTTCAATGAGTTTTTTTGCTAATATGTGTCTACTAGAAAGCAAGGCCGTAGTATCCAAGTTGGGAGGGGGGCAGGAGGCCATGACCCCCAATAATTCTAAATGAAAATTAAAAGCAACGTTTGTAATTGAGTTTCACATAGCATTTTTAAGTTTTCCCTTCCCCTCCTTCACAATAATTTTAACAGTGCTACGGCCCTGGATAAGTACGAAATGCTAAAACTACAAGCAGATAAATGTCAACATTAGATAGAAATAGGCACATTTATTATCAAAGGCAAAATCGATACGTTTAGTCATATAAATTATGATACATTCTCTAGCACAATCTTCACAATTATCAATCGTTTACTTCTTAAGGCTATACAACCAATCTGGAGCACACTAAAAGGAATATATGTTAAAACATTATTAGTGTCCAGTGGTGGAAATTATAGGGGAGAGGGGGGGGGGGACACTAGGCTCAGCTCCGCCAAAGGAGAGTTCTCGTTGGAAAATTTGGGCTTTCGTAAGGTAATTGTAACGAGATTAACGAGCCGAAAGCCCATTCAAGATTTTTTCTGATTGATAATTATGCTACTGATTCCCCTTTATTCTTTGCTGGAAAACACTATTTTCGATTCAATTCAAAAAAGCGAATTATGCGGTGGTATTTCTCATCAAACACTTTTTTCTAAAAAAAGACTAGGAATTATTGCAGAACTGATTACAACGATTCGGGGAGTAGGGTTACAAACTTTAGAATGACAGACAAAACAAAATTCAAAGGTTGTTGTCTTTTCTTTTGTAAACAATTATCAAGGAGAAAGTTCTAAATACTCATTTCGAAATTCAAATTGTATCGGATAAAGTTCATTTGCTTTTCACCTAAAGAAGTTTACAATTTCAATTGTAGTTGTTGAAACGGGGAATCCACCAGCAAGTCCAGCAAAAAATCCTTAGTATCGCCTTAAACTAGCTCTTCCACTTTCGTCGAAAACATCTAAATTTAAAATAATTCAGCAAGCCTATTTTCATTGAACTGATTTAATACGTGGCGTATACGACGTAACGATTCTGAGAAGCAAGTGGTCTGTTCTAAGGAGTATGTTTCGGTTTGCACATAAAATTCCTGACCATTTTTCTGATATCCTTTCGATTAAGAAGATATAGAATGGGAGTAAGGATCTGGTGCAAAGTTGCCAGTGTCATCGCAGTCCTTAAGGCCCATGACACTTGCACGTTTCGTCCGAAAAACGAGCTTATTCGGTAAACAGTTAGCGGCAACCAGTTGATAACATAGACGATCACGAGAATTATACAAATTCGGCCATTCTTTAAATGCTGCTTTGCTTTCACTCTAGGCTGCGATTGCCCTTCTGGGCCGATATTGGTCTCGAACTGCGAAACAGCAATCGAGGGTCTGTTTGCTTCTCTGTATTGCTCCTGACTGATGCTCGACAAGGGTTGCAGCTGTCGCCTTTGATTTTGAATAGCTACATAAAGTCTGTAATTAGATATTGTCAACACCAGTAGCCCGACTGCAAAGTACACCGTGACAAAGACAGAACGCGAGTGCAACTCAACTTCTCCGTTGCAAATCCAGTAAATACTGACTTGAATTAGAATAAAGGCAATTGATAGTGAAAGTGTGAAGGCAGAAACAATATTGACACGCCTATCTGTGACAAGCGATGCGTGTCGCAATGGGTATTCAATAGCAACTAACTGGTTAAACGTCAAGATGCAGAGAATATTCACCGATGCCAATGCACTTGCGAACATCGGGATCATACCGACAGTCTTGTAAATATCCACATCGACAGTTGGCACAAGTACCCAGTTTACGGTACCAGTGACACCGAACGAAAACTCAGCAATGGACAATGCCAACAATATTTTGTTGCAAGGATTTTGCGAAAGTTTTTGTCGGTTGATCAGGAACGTGACTAGAATCAACAAGTTCATTATGGCAGACAGAAAGCACATCACTGCAAGTGTTGTGTAGTAGGCGAACGCTCCAGCGTCCATTTTTCTTCTTCAATTTTCAATAAAACCTGCAAGATGAAATTCAAGGCGATTAAATACTGTTTTAAAAATGTTTAGATACTGTATGCAGAGGATAAAAAATACAGACTATAAAATGTAATATAACTTGTGATATAAAATGTCGAAATTTCCAAAATGTAGAGTAAACCTTATTTGTGTCATGTAGATACCTTGCCTTCACCTCAACCTTGCACGTTATAAAAACTTAATATAAACATTAACTGAATAAAAAAACTATTAGTTATAATGCAGTTTTAAAGCCTGTTTTGCGTCGGGCTGAATCTCGATCGTTGATTGGCTGAACGAGCTGTCAATCAACTTGTGGCATTGCTCAATGCAGATGAAAGACAAAACAAACAAGTTGGTTTCTAGATACTGAATTTGATAAAATTTTAGAGAGATTCATAGATCATTGTCATGGTAACAGTTATGTTCTCGTTTTTATTTTTAATAAAGAAATCTCTTTTATAAGTTTTATATGTCTACTGGTAGTTGCAGCAATTTTACTTTTTTCTAACAAATCTCTTCTTTTAGTTTTATCACTGCACAAGATTTGAGTTTACCACTGCATCATTGCGATTTATCACTGCACGTTAAAACTAACTCTCGTTCTATGCAATACACATTGGAAACTGAAATTTTTTGACAGTCCAGATGTGTAATGACGAGAAAAGATGCAGGTGATCAGAAATTATGAAGTTTAATGAATACATTATTAAGAAAAACCAGAGTTCATGTGTTCTACTGTGAAGGCAGTTTGAAGAAAAAACTATTAATTGAAGAAGGGGTTTGTCGCATGTATAAGCGTATAATTTGTTCAATTGGCTTACACGAGCACGAGCTGGTGCAAAATTAAAGAAATGATGTTATTTTGCGCGTTTTATTTTGACTTGGGATTTAAATTCATGATAATTGGATCGAAGCTCTGAATGAGAATCAAATTCAAAGAGTGCTGTTTTTGGAATTATTCTATTTCCTATTGTGAAATTTCACGACCCAGCTGTATACTGGAATTTTTCAAGCATTTGCTAGTATGGAAGGTTTCCTTTGGTCTCATTATGAAGCCGAGGGTCAATTACGTAATTTGAATTCAGTATCGGCCTATCTTCCCTCTGTTCAGCTACCCTGGGTTCCAGAATCTTCATGATTTAGTCACAAAAATATAGTTTGAATCAATCTAGCTACAGATATTTCTTTTGAGCGAGGATCGGAAATAGAAATCTCCTTTCCCTCCTCCGCATTCACTCATTCTTTACCACTCATTCGTTGAATTGAGACTGTGTATGGCCACCTTCAAGAATCAAGAAGAGAGGACCCAGATGCCACAGTCTCAATTAATTTCAACAAAGATAGCCATACACCAGCCAACATTAAAATTACTGGACTTTGCTACGTACCTCATAACAACATTAGACGCAAAACCCTCGAAAAACGTATTATCTTTAAACTTGGTACTTTTATTCCTAATGGCCTTAACAAACAATTTTCGTTTCTTTCCTAATCCAGCAATTATTAATTTTTACCTTATCTTATCTATACGCTTTCCACTCCCCTCATATTATTCTCAAATGTATTTAAAGCTAATCTCAAGGGCATCGTCGCAAAAAATTTTCCTCAATGTTCCTTAGGAGAGCCTCAATGTTCAGTAATTTCCCCTGGTTTTGGGGCTTGTGTAGAAAAGTCTTTCACGTTCTTGAGACATTCCTGATAAAATAGAAACTAAAGTGCTAAAGTAGTCCAATCTTTAAAGAAAATTGGATTCTGAAATGCTTGTCGTGGACTTTTCTCCGAGGAAAACAGACTTGGTTTAAAATTTTTGAATACTGTTAATTATCTTAGAAATTTAGATTTTTTACACGTGGTGCTTCCTCGTCTTACATATTCAGGATATAAACGTTAGTGGAATTGTGAAGGAAATAGACAATTGTAGAATATGGTCGGCCATCTATGACGTCGAATAAAGGGAAATTGCCACGTAAAAATGCCATGGCTTTATCAAACGCATTTACAAAATGGGTGTTTCCCAAATTGTGAAAAGGTGTGATCAGCAAATTATTTTTCTCTTTGGCCTTCCAGTCTTCCAAAGCTAGCTACGCCACAGTTAAAAGCCAAAATTTAAAAATGGGCGTTTCCATCATTTACCAGTGACCTGAAGGGTATGGCACCAAAATTAGTGTCTAACACCCCCCAACCCCCAATCCGCCCCTGTGCAATATAAACTCGTGCAACTTTGTTGGAAAGGATTGACCTAAGTTTTTTTATACCTAACTGCAAGGCAATTCAATACATAATTTATCTGATTTTTTGTTATAATTGCCCCCAGCCCCCCTCTTTCTCTTTCCCTTAACCCCCCTCACTGCTACGGACAAGCAAAATTAGATTAGGCATATTGAAAGTATCAATTGTTCTCAGTCTTAAGTGTTGGACATTGACCAAAAACGTTTTGAAAGGAAATTAATTTCCGGTAGCGGAAAGCCGCATTCTTATTAGTTAAAATCGTTTGTTTCAAAATCGTCAAAACATTGTAGGCTGTAAGATAAGATAATTATTCATGTTCTAGATTTATATTTTACGCCTTGAAATGTTTTCTTCAAAATAGTTACAAAATTTTAAGATAAATTCAACAGATGAAAATTTGTTCAAAGTCTCAAGAGAAAACCACAAAAACGGAATTTCCTTTTTCACTAAAGTTTTTCATTTGGAACAGAATAGGATATTGCCATGACAGTCGAAAGCAATCATGTGCACTAAAAAGACGCAATTTCTTTATATTCCATCGCCAGGATGGTTTTTTAACCTTTTTTCTTCTAGAAACTTTCTGGTTGAAATAGAAGCAATGTGTAGCAAGTAATTATTTGTTATTTGACATCAGGTTGTCACTATTTGTCGCTATTCAAGTAATAAGGCGTCCAAAAAAATGTTTATCTGGATCCGCACAGCCATCTATGCAATGGTGTTCATTTTGTCCCTGCAAAGACAAGTATCAAACTCTTTGGGAAAATGCAAATGTTAAACTGATAAATACTTGCATAGGACAGTAATGTGTCAAGTAGGAAAGTATAGTCTCATGGAAGTATTAGGTTGGACCCAAATAAGTTTGAAAGACAAAACCTGAATTTCAACAGAAGTCGTATTGTATTACATGAATAACAAACAGGAAAATTAGCCCTCTATTTGCACAAGATTTGCCAATAGACTCAGGGATTTTTGTGTTCTTTTGCAAGTATTGATACAGCTATGATAATTTGTCTGCCGCAAGCGGGTTGCAACAATTTATTTCCGCAGCTAAGAAAAGATACCAACCGGTATGCCCAGATTTGTTTCCAGCTGTTAGCATCAATGCACAAAATACCAGACAAACGATTGCTTCTCTCATATGCTTGGATTCCAATTGCTAGATGCTTTGATCTTCTTTGTTATTCTCCAATATACCAGAAGATGTATTGAATGCTGTTCAAACAGTTAAGCAATCATCTAAGCTTTGATCCATCAGCCTGCGGGGAGTTTTTTGCTTAAACTCCCTTGAGACGATATACTAAAGTCCTGCCATGCAGATTTCACTCCCACGCTGCAAGGAAATAAATTCCATTCTTGTCCCCGATGACAAGCATCGGCAAAATTAAAATGTACAGATACCTCTGGGTCTCCGTTTGCCACCTGTATCAATAACATTTCCTGAATTATTCTGTTATCAGGAGACGTTCCTGAATTATTTATTGACAGGTGGTGGTTGTCGTAATCAACAACAATCATTTGACCAAATAGGGCGCAATAATACAAAAAATATCTGTTGATTTTAGCTTATTGATTCGAAAGACATGTGCAACCGCACCTTATTTCTCTGTACTACGTTGCTCCAACCACAACCCTGAATTCTGGAATTTATTACACAATATAACTATTCATTATTCTTACACAGTAAAGAGTAGAGAGACAAATACTGGAATCTGACTTTGTCAAAGCATGATCTGTCTAATTAGTTTATCATCGCAACATACTTTCATATTTTTTGGATAAAAGGAACTCGAAAAAAATGTTGAAAAAGCAACTTGGAAATAATTTTTGCAACCCCCAGTTGGTCTTTCAACGGTTTTAATTTTCAACAATTGAAATGGGTAGCATAAAATGGGTGGGGAAATTACGCACAATTCTGATTGGTACTGAATTTTCATCAAAAATAAAAAAATGAGCAATTCTTTAACGAGCATTTTAAATGATAGCTACAGACACTCCGAGCCAACGAGAGTAAAAGAGAGCCAGCCAGAGCAAACGAGAGCCAGCAAGACCAAGAAGAGCCAAGAAGAGCCAAGAAGAGCCAAGAAGAGCCAAGGAGAGCCAAGGAGAGCCAAGGAGAGCCAAGGAGAGCCAAGGAGAGCCAAGGAGAGCCAAGGAGAGCCAAGGAGAGCCAAGGAGAGCCAAGGAGAGCCAAGGAGAGCCAAGGAGAGCCAAGGAGAGCAAAGGAGAGCCAAGGAGAGCCAAGGAGAGCCAAGGAGAGCCAAGGAGAGCCAAGGAGAGCCAAGGAGAGCCAAGGAGAGCCAAGGAGAGCCAAGGAGAGCCAAGGAGAGCCAAGGAGAGCCAAGGAAAACCAATGAGAGCCAACGAGAGCCAACGAGAACCAACAAGAGCCAACTAGAGCCAACAAGAACCACGAGAGCTCGCAAGAGCCAGCGTTGGCGTTGGGATAATACTTTAGATGGTTGCCAGATATGAATCATCCGGATATCAGAACAGAAACAGATTTTAAAGGCAAGGATTTGAGAAAGGTTGCTAAATGATGACTAGATCTTGGTGCCACACCCTAAAGGTGTCTTGAAAATAAAGAAGATGAAAGTAAAGAAAAAAAGAAAATAAAAACGCTTGGATTAGTAGTCTTTTAGAGTCGATGAATTGTTTGAGTGATTTCAAGTACACAACAGAGAATCTTCAACACAAATGCAAGTTTTAGGGTGTGACCATAGGCGAGGCCCTTTCTTTCAAAGTTTTTAGGGCGCACCCCAGAAAGTGCTGAATCACAAGTAATAACGCAGTATTCATATTTTTTTATAAAAATACATGGCTCCAGTTTCAGCCTGGCCTTTTTTGTTGGTTTATCGTCAGCTTCACGTGTTCTATTTTGCCTCTGATTTTTGTAATTGACTTTCCTGTGCATAGAAGTGTTCGGACAAAATATGTGTTTGATAAAGTAATTAATGCTATTTTGCTTATCTCTTTCTGTTTTCTGTGACTATTCTTTAATTTTTCATTTTTGCTGATATTTCATTTTTTGAGTTTTTGAATTTCAGCCTGCCTTGTTTCTTATGTTGGTCTCATATTTTGAGCAAATATCAGGCTGAAGTTTCTTGTAAAGGCGGGTTTCCACTTTGGCGAATCTGGTCGCGCGAACCTTGCGATCGCTCGATTGCTATCGCAGGATTGATTTCCACTCTTGAGATTTGGCCGCGAGATCCTTGTCAGTGCCCTAGAATAATTAGGCGCGTAAACAATATGGCGATTACAAGGCCACAAATTTTGATTCTCATTTTATTGAGGTGACGATTAAAAAGAAGAGCACTGCAGGCTCGTAAGAAAAGGAGATGCTGGGTAAGGAAAATATGTGCAGAGAGATATGAAAAGGGAGAGTATCACCAGCTTGTCAAATAGATGAAACTTTTCGACATTTTCAAACGCAAGATAATTTGACTGTACTTTAGGGGATTGACTTTGCTGAAATTGACTTAAGAGCGACATGACTTCTGGATCGATCCTTATTTTTTCCATCGTCTTCTTCTCAGCGTAGCAGAGCGTGGAGTTGACTTTTTGGACAAGCGCCAAAGAAAACAAGACAAGAGGCATTTTACGTAAACCAGACAAAAAACAAAGCATCTAATTGGTTCTTGATAATCTGGTGGCAGAAAAGTTAAAATCTATTCAACTCCCAAAAGCGATCGCGCGATCGCCAGTGCAAAGGGGAATCACTGCCAATGGGTTTAATGCGCATGCCCAGAACAGCAGTCGCGCGATCGCGTGACCTGAATCGCCGAAGTGGAAACCCGCCTTAAGAGCTGTTCTTATAAAAAAGTGTGTAGTCAAAATAAGATCGGCCATGATTTAGGGAGGCACCAAGCAGATACTTAGAAAAGTGCTTAATCATCCCAATAGTACTGTTGCTTTTGTAAGAGTAGCCTTTATTATGTATTGAGAACGATAATCGGCTGTCCAGGATAAGCTCGAAATGTTTATCCCAGACAAAAATCCCGTCTGTCAATCAATAGGAGTTATGAATTGCCTTGAAACTGAATATGAGGATCCTCTGTCTGTTTGCTCAAGTCAAAATTATAAGTCAGCTTCCAATGGAATTCCCGATCTCTTTTCATATGAAGATGACCATCAAAATCGTTTGCAGAAGAGTTAGGAACAGTAATAGCAAAGATCAGTACTGTATCATCAGCGAAAATACAGGCATTTCACCCCAAGCCCCCCAGAATGTCATTATTATAGCGTAAGAAGAACAGGGGACCAAGGATGCATCCTTGAGGCACTCCAACATTTATCATACAATAATTAGGGTATATGCTGTTGATAACTGTTCTTTGCTGTCGATCGCTTAAAAACTAGCAATTGAAATTAATACATTTCCAGTAATTCCAAGTCTACGAAACCTAAAGGTCTAGCCTGAATGCCAGACCCTGTGATATGCTTTGGGTATAGAAAGACAAACTGGTCTCACGTCCACGGGGGAATTCTGTCAAAGGCGCTGCATATTTCATGAGTCACTGCAAGCAGCTGTTAAGTATAAACCCTGATTGTCTATAGGAAGGGATGTTATGGTCTTCGAGATCTTTATAAAAGCTCCGGAATATCAGTTTCTCTAAAAGTTTTGCAAAAACTGTTAGAAGAGAGATTGTTCCACAATTCTTTCTAATTTGCCTGCATGATCGTTTTATGAATGGGAACTTTTTATAATTTTTAGATAATCAATTTTAGGGGAAATTTAATTAATCGCAAATTCAACTCATACCTACTGATACATTGTCATGTCCTTGCGCATAGCAAGCAAGTTTTAAGATTTGTTCCCCAGAGATGGGACATGATTCATTTGTCTTGTCACACAGCAATCCAAAATTAGGCAGGTCACTTTCGGTAATTGAGCAATGCTTGACAAAGCGCTCTTTAAACATCTGGGCTTTTTCATTACTGTTTGTAACCCATATCGTGTCGTGTGATAAATTTAATTCAAATATGAAAAAGCCAACCATCCCAGAATTTGCTACCATGTTTGATTTTACCAAAATTGATGCCCCAAAATTCAAATTTTTACTTGACAAAAAGAAGTCCCAGAATGGCTCAGTTCATCCAAAAAAATATCAAGGCTTAATCTTAAATAATCTTACTAGGAATAAAATTTGAACATACTTTCAAGATTTTATGGGTTAGAGAACATAGGCGTAGACTTGCATTTTTTTTCAGGGGGGGGGGGGGGGGGGGGGCTAAAAAATTAATGACAATTCCTAAAGGCAGCTGCTGATGTCACAGGATAAAAAGTGGATTAGCTAAGGGCTTAAAGGTGATTTTCCATGCATTTTTCATTATCGAGGAAGAAGAAACACACAATCTGACCTTATGTCACAATAATTTCATACTTTATTTTGCTGTAAACGCAATTATCTAATGCAACAAATCTTATGAATGAAACCAATAATATAACAAACTAATCTCAAAATTTGTAAAGCACTTCCTTATTTTCCAAGGGAGGGGGAGGGGGCTCATCCCCCCTTCTTTTTCGTCAGGAGGGGCTGAAGCCCCCAGAGCCTCCCCCTGAGTTTACGCCTATGTTAGAGAATGTGTATTGGGATGGAGGGAGCGTGTTGATAGAAGTGCTTTTGCCAGGCAAACTGCATCAAACACTCGCGTATGGCAGGGACGTTTGCCTTCTCGTAATCCAAAACTTTTCTTGTATCAGCTATACTGTTAATTGAGGTAACGTATGACTGTTTAGTGACTTTGGGGCAGGAGGTATGTAGTATTAGAATATCTTTAATGATTAAATCATTTTCGCTTCATGAATTTCAAAATTATCATTTATCTGGTATATGCAAAGGCCAGTAAGATTGAAAAACGTCATTGATAAACTAAAATTTCCAAACACCGGATAATGTTGAAGGGGAAATCACGCCATGAAAATCTCGTACCTTTTCGGTGAAAATCCAGTTTTAGGCATTGTTTTGAATTAGCATTTTTCTGTTGGATGCAATTCGATACATTTTTTGCTTGAAAAGTATTTGCAAAACCAGCTTTGTTCTTTTAATAGGGCTATTTTTAAACCCAGTCTTATAGAATAAAAGGCAAGCGAAAAAAGTTTCTGATACACCTGAAGCTTTGCGATGTAACTATAAAAACAAGGATCTGCTAGATGGAGTGGATAAAATTATAAACTTTTGCAAAAACTACGTTAACGAAAATCCTATTCAAATTAATCGACTTCAAAAATCGAACTCATAAAAAAATCGAATTAAAGGGTACATGCAACATCATTAAAAACTAGCCAAAAACAAAAAATGATGAATGTTAAAATTTAATTCAGCCTATCGTTTATAGAATTAATCTGTGGGACGGAGCTGTTGGATGGAGTAAATGCAACGATTAAAGCAAAACTCTTTAAACAGTAATATTAGTCCTTCACGGTGATGCTAGTGAGATAATGACTAAACAAAGTATCAAATGACTAAACAAAGTAGAAAATCGTTTACTTGTACATAAGCAGACCATAACTCGACTAACAGTTCTAAAGAGAGAAACATTGTTCGTGGAACCACTTTTGGCAAATGGGGCACTCCATCCATTCCTTATCCATGCGGTACTTCCCATGACAATAGCAGTGGCGTACCCAGGGCTGTAGTAGTGGGGGGGGGGGGTCTGGGGGTTAGAATTTTTTTGGGGCCACGCCCTTCAGACACTCGCAAATGCGGGGAAACGCCCTTTTGCAAAATTTCCCCCCATTATTTGATTAATGTTAGCTACGGTAAATAGCAAAGTATTTTACAATTGTTATTGACACAAGCGTACAGTATACTACACCCCCCCAGTGAGTTTTACATCATTTTTGGACAAATCTCGAGGATCATATTTTAGAAAAGTGGGGGGGGGGGTCCGTAACCCCCTATTCCCCCCCTTGGGTATGCCACTGGCACAATAGCAACGTGTATTTTCATCGACATCGTTTTCAGCATGGTCACATTCTTTGCCATACCACTGAGAAAAATGCGGCTCTTCACCGGAGCTTAAAAAGAAGAACTTATTGTAAAGGACATTTCGCTCGTTGAAACACCTGACTACTTTGTGTGTCTGCAATGTATGTGGAATGGACTCGACATCATTCATTTGTTCTGGCTTTTGCATCCCCCCCACGCAATCCATAGGACCTTTCCCATGATGAGCTTCATTGTAATGCCATTATAAGTTGAACCACAGAATAGGAAATACCGTAATTCCTCGAATTGCCCCCCCCCCTCGAAAAGCCCCCCTCCCTCGATTAAGCCTCCACCCTAGAACTTCAAATTGTTGATAAGCCCCCCTCGAATAAGCCGCAACTGCTATCTTAAATTCTCAAATTGGACCCCTCAATTTGATGATTTTTGCCATCTGAGGTTGCCTATGGCGTTTTATTGAATTACCACAACAAATTCATACTTTTGGTAGTAATTAATTGAATGCTCGTAAAGAAATTTCTACTA